CAGGTGCTCCCCAGGTCGACCCTCTCCCCGCTCCAGGTCCTGCTCCCTCAGGTGTGTCTCAGGTAGACCCTCCTCCCTTCCCTGCGCCGGTTGAGGTCACTGGTGACTCAGGTCCTGCTGGGGGTGGTCCTGCTCGGGGTGCTACTTCTGGGGGTGCTGAGTCTGGGGGTGCTGAGCCTGGGGGTGCGGAGCCTGGGGGTGCGGAGCTTGAGGGTGTCGAGCCTGGAGGTGCTGAGCCTGAGTGTGAGGGGTCTGGAGGTGCTGGAGCTGGTGGTTCTGGGGCTGCTGAGGGTGCTAGCGCTGGAGGTTCTGGAGCTGCTGGAGGTCCTGGTGCTGGTGGCGCTGGAGCTGCTGAGGGTGCTGGCGCTGAGGGTTCAGAGTCTGCTGTTGCGCGGTCTCCTTGGAGTAGCCGCCTTCGTCCACGTGTGCCACTCACCTCGCAGCAGCTGCACGACTGGTACGGTCGCCGTCAGGGTCGCGCTGCTGGAGCCCGGGGCTCTACTGCTGGAGGTACTTCTGCTGCCGTCCCTGGCGCTAGGAGTGGTGCTGGTACTGTTTCTACTGGAGGTGCTGGAGTCGCTGGTCCCGGAGGTGCTCGTACTGGAGGTACTGGAGCTGCTGGGGCTGGGGGTGCTGCGTCTGGAGGTGCTGCTGCTGGAGACACCGAGGCTGGAGACCCTGGGACTGGAGGTGCTGGTTCTGGGGGTGCTGCTGCTGGAGACGTGGAGGCTGGAGACCCTGGGACTGGAGGTGCTGGTTCTGGGGGTGCTGCTGCTGGAGACGTGGAGGCTGGAGACCCTGGGACTGGAGGTACTGGTTCTGGGGGTGCTGCTGCTGGAGGCACTGGGGTTGGAGACCCTGGGCCTGGAGGTGTCGGTTCTGCTGCTGGAGCTTCTGGAGCTGCTGGAGGTGCTGGAGCTGCTGGGGGTACTGGAGCTGCTGGAGCTGCCGGTTCTGGTGCAGCTGCGCCGCCACGACTGTTCTTCGCTCCGCCGTCTCCGTCGTCTCTGCCGCCGCCTGACTCTGTTCTTCGTCAGGTTCTTACTCTCCCGTCGTCTACTGGTCTTCCGTTACAGCCTGGCTCACCGCTGCCTGCTCCTTCTCCTTACACTGAGCAGACGGGTAGTCTTGCTGAGCGTTGTGAGCCTGCGTCGCGTCCTGTCTCGCCTGTTCGTCCTAGTCGTACCGGTCGTCGTGTTCCGCGTCCGCGTTCGCCGCCTGTCCCCACCGCACACCTTGTCGTCCGTCGTCCTTCCTCTGTTCCGCAGTCTGTTTCTCTGCCGTCTCCTCCTGCGTCTTCCTTGCCTCACGTTCCGGACCCTGAGTCTGACCAGTTTCGTGCTGAGCACCCTACTGTCACGCGTCTGCTCGCCACTGTTGTCACTGACCCCTCGTTTGAGTCTGCTGCTGCGACAGCTTTGGTTGCCGAGCTTGTTGACTTTGCGGCTGCCTGTCGTCTAGACTACGCTGCTAGTCTTGTCGCTGAGTCTGAGTCTGTCTGTCCTCCGTCCGTCGGGGGTGAGTGTGCTCTTAGCACGGACGTCCTTGAGGACAGGCACGAGGACCTTGAGTGTCTTGCAGCTGCTGCGCCTCATCTCGTGACCATGCTGCTTGCCCCTGAGGGAGACCCGGATGCACTAGACATCCCCACCCCGCGCTCGTACGCTGAGGCGGTCGCGGGTCCCTACTCCTCTCAGTGGCAGGCAGCCATGGACGCAGAGATGGCATCCTGGAAGTCCACAGGCACTTACGTCGACGAGGTTCCCCCTCCTGGGGCGAACATCGTCAGTGGCATGTGGATTTTCAGGGTGAAGCGGCCGCCTGGTTCTCCGCCTGTCTTCAAGGCACGTTACGTTGCTCGAGGCTTCAGTCAGCGAGAGGGGGTTGACTTCTTCCAGACCTTCTCCCCCACCCCAAAGATGACCACTCTTCGGGTACTGCTGCACGTTGCCGCCCAGCGTGACTACGAGCTTCACTCGCTTGACTTCAGCACAGCTTTCTTGCAGGGCAGCCTGCACGAGGAGATCTGGCTGCGCCGCCCACCTGGCTTCACTGGGTCGTTCCCTCCTGGTACCCAGTGGAGCCTCCGCCGGCCAGTCTACGGTCTCCGTCAGGCGCCTCGTGAGTGGCACGACACACTGAGGACTACGCTTGCGGCTCTCGGGTTTGCGCCCTCCACAGCTGACCCGTCACTGTTTCTGCGCACCGACACTTCGCTGCCGCCGTTCTACATCCTCGTGTACGTCGACGACTTGGTCTTTGCCACTGCTGACACTGAGGCTCTCGCCCTGGTGAAGTCCGAGCTGCAGAAGAGACACACGTGCACAGATCTGGGTGAGCTGCGCAGCTACCTTGGCTTGCAGATCACCCGGGACAGAGCACGTCGCACCATCACTCTGACTCAGTCACACATGGTGCAGCAGGTCCTCCAGCGCTTCCGCTTCACCTGGTCCTCGGCACAGTCCACTCCTCTGGCTACAGGTCACTCGCTCTCAGCTCCACCTTCGGACGAGTCCGTAGAGCCGAGTGGTCCTTACCCAGAGCTAGTAGGCTGCCTCATGTACCTGATGACTTGCACTCGTCCTGACCTTGCGTACCCTCTTGGCCTTTTGGCCCGCTACGTGGCTCCTGGTCGGCACCGAAAGGTGCACTGGGATGCTGCGAAGAGGGTACTGCGCTACTTGTGCAGTACATCGGGCATGGGGCTCGTGCTTGGAGGACGGCGAGAGGTGGTCCTCACTGGGCACTCAGACGCGTCTTGGGTTGACGACCAGGCTACACAGCGGTCGTCACAGGGTTACACCTTCGGCTCTGGTTCTGTTTCGTGGCGTTCTACTCGCTCGTCTTCTGTTCTCAGCTCCAGTTGTGAGGCTGAGATCTACGCCACCGCCATGGCTGCTCAGGAGCTGCGCTGGCTCACCTACCTGCTGACCGACCTGGGAGAGCGGCCTCGTTCTCCTCCAGTTCTGTACGTTGACAACAAGGCAGCCATTGCCTTGTGTGAGGAGCACAGACTGGAGCACAGAACGAAGCACATCGCTCTGCGTTACTTCCTGGCTCGAGAGTTGCAGCAGCGTGGTCAGCTTCGTCTTGCACACGTGGCCACTCGGGCCAACACTGCTGATATATTCACCAAGGCACTTCCGTCTGGTGATCATCAGCGCTTTTGTACCTTGTTGGGCCTTGTGCCTACGTTTCCACACTTGCTGTAGACTCTGCCTGTACTGTGATCTTTATATATATATACCTGCATGCTTGCTCTTGCTAGGTAATGATCACTGTACTTTGTTTGTTGCATATATACCTCTGCATGTGGACAGGCCTTGTGGCCCTTTGCTTGTGCTCAGTGTGTGTGGTGACGTTGTGATCCACCCTGAGCTTGTTTTGTTTCTCTTGACTGGTCTTGTGACCCCTTGTTCTCCCCCACTTTGCCTATGGGGGTGTGTCAAACTATGCATATTGTGTTTGTGTAGGCTGCTAGTGGGGTAGCCCATATGGGGTACAACCCAATGTTAGGGTTAGCTTATGTACCCAACTCTTGATCAATGCATTCATTCCTGCTGTCAGATTCTAATACAGCATGCGGCTGCCAATTCAACCAACTCCTCTTCCGACCACTCCATGTTGTAGGATGGGCCCTTTTTACTAGCAGACTTGCCTCTACGGCGCTTACGCCCAACCTTTTTCCGGGCTGTTGCGTCGTTTCTGTCGTCATCCGCGTCATCGCTTTCATCGTCGCCAGAGTTGTCAGAGTCCGACTCACTGTCGCTCGAGGACAGTATTTCCTCGAGATCGTCGGAGTCCACATCCGTATCCGCGGCGACGTTTTCTGCTTGGCCGTCCTCGTCGTGCGCGATGTACTGGGATGTTGATCGGGGGCTGTCGGCAGCCTCGTTAGCGATGCGTGGGTTGGAAGCTCCTTGAGCTTGCCGCGATTTCATCCAGGATACGTAAGGCGGATCAACCCAGGGCTTCTGCTCGTCTGCTTTCTGCTTGCCTTTCTGGCTACGACTTTTACGAGGAGGCATGTTGGTGCGCTTGTTGTGTGGTGAGCTGCCTTGGTTCGTAATCTGCTGAAGCATGCAGATCGTCCATTGTCTGTACGGTTTATGCCTTCGTGAAGTTGGATCTGTTCCGCATGGCTGTTGGGAAATTGGATGTGTTCCAATTTCCCGCCGGGAATTGTGACGGTTTCGCGTCTTCACTTGACTGTTGGGCGCGCGGGCGATTTGTTTGTGCGATCTGCAATTTGGCTGGTGTTTGGGTGTCAGGCGATTTGTCGGTTGTCGCAATGCGGGTGTTGCGACGCGTCCGAATCAACTTCCCGAACCATCCCCTCTTGACACATGGAGGTTTATTCCTCCATGTGTTTTTAGAGTTGGTGGCATGCCACCTACAGTAACTTGCCACAAGCCAGGGATACGACCTAACTAACCGGTACCAGCTCAATATATGAGACGATGTTCCTAAAACAGCAGTGAGGCATGGCGGGAGAAAAGAAAAGTTTCCACCACTCCACCTACCTTTCCCCGCATACCGTATGCGCCAGACTAACGTACTGACTGAACATCTGCTAATCGCGACATGTAGAAAATTCTCGAGCACGCATTGATTTGCTAGGCCTCGCATGTAGGGCTGAGCTGGATCACTTCTGGTTTGTAAGTTCCACTGAGAAATGTAGGAAGGCCGTAAGCAATGGTGCAAGCAACTACATGGGATGGATCATGGGACATTCTCAAGCATTGTACGTAATGTTGGGCCTCGCAAGTAGCGCTGAGTTGGATCTCTGCTATTTTTGTATGTTCCATAGAGAGAGGGCCACACATTTGCTCTCAATGGTGCAGCAATATACCGGACATTCTACAGCATTAATTTGCTAAGCTTCGCATGTGGAGCTGAGCTGGATCGCCTCTGGTTCATATGTTCCATTCAGAATCAGAGAAGAGGGGACATGGCAAGCTCTCAACAATGCAACTGACAGCACATTCTCAAGTATCACTTTACAAGGCCTCGCATGTAGGGCTGAGCTGAATCGCTTCTGGTTCATATGTTCCATTGAGTATCTGGGGAGCGGGGCCATAAGCCCTCACCACCGCCGCACTATTGGTCTGCAGGCAACGGTGCAACGACATAGGAGGGTATGAGATGCCAAAAGAGCATACGAGCGAGAAACCAGAAACGGACTTGGAGAAATACACTCTGGGGGCTGAGATGAGTGCGAGAAATTATGAGGTGCAACAATACGGAACTAAAGAAACATGAGGGAAGGAGAAGAAAGAATGAGCAAGAATCAAGCAACTAGCAGGCAAAAGCAGAAGTACCGAGTTAACAGTAGGGATCCAGTTGGCTTCAAGCGATTGGCCGGGCGAAGTCGATTGAATGTAGATGGTGACAGTGCCATCAGGATTGTACTGCAGTGAGGGAGACAGGGCAGCACGAGGGCCAGTTGGAGGAAGTGAGAGGATTGTATGTGTGTTTGAATCAAGTGAACACGATGCCATCAGGGGTGTATGACCATGAGGGCAGCAGCGAAGGTTTGGAGGCATAGGATAGGGGTACTGGGAGGCGGAAGGGATTAGGGTGAGGGCAGGTGGGGGAAGATGGAAAGGGAGGAGACATGTTGCTAAGTTAGGAGAAACTACGGAGAATCGACGGAAGGAGAAACGGCGGAAGGAGAAACGACGGATTGGAGCCCACATAGGGAACGAGATTGGAAGCATTGTAAAGGCTGATGGATGTGTTTTGAGTCGACTCAAATCACACCTGGATTGTAAGCATTGTAAGTAGTGACAGACAGGAGGGAACAGAGAGGAGGAGGGGTGGGGTGGGGAGGGGTGGCAACGTAGATTAACATACCAGCAGTCCCGGTGTGCGGTCCCCCACGCCAAACTTAGTGACTCCTTCCAGAAGGTTGAGATTAGAGGCGTTGTAAACAGTGACAGACCAAAAGGAGTCGACGGGAGGAGGGGTGAGGCGCAGGCGAAAGCAGCGGGAGCCTTGGAGAGGCGTGAAGGGGCGACGCGGAGAGGGCAGGGAGGAGGGGAAGATGGAGGGAAGCTGAGGTTGCATGGAGGTCGTGGAGTTGGCAGCCAGGGAGAGGAGACTGGGAGGCTGGGGAGAAGGCTGGGTTCCAGTGGTGTTGGTGGTAGCTGTGGTGTCGCTGCTATCTGTGGTGGTGGTGTTTTCAGCGTGGATGTTGTTTCCTGTGCTACTGCTGTGGGATGTGGTACTGATGGGGGGGTCAATGGGGTTGATGGGAGGAACGGTGGTGTTGCTTGCTGCTGTGATGTTGCTTGGCGGGGAGGGGGGACTCACAGGGATTCCGGGAGGAGTGGTGGCGTTGGGAGAGGCTGTGGCATTGGCAGCAAAGGAAGGTGGCATGGAGGGAGGAGTGGTGGGACGAGCGGTAGTGTTGGATGCATTTGTAGCAGAAGGCTGTAGGGCTGCCACAGACGGGGTAACCTGGAGAGAGGGGGGAAGATGAAGGATGGTTTGAAAGCAAGATGAAAAGATGCCGCATTGACAGGAGTGTAAGGTTTCTCGAGGTGCCTCAGTGTTGGCAAGGGGGGTAGAACTGCCACAGATGAGGCAGCCGGGACGAGAGGGCATTTCACCTCTGCGAGTAAGGTGAGTTGAGGAAGCAGAGAATTTCTGTGGGAGGCGTCCTGCCAATGCCGCCTCGTGCTGTGAGGGTGGCTCAATGCACGAAATCTCCAGAATAAATGAGTAGAGAGGAATAGAAGGGGAAAGTTAAGGTATCGACTTACCTCAGCGAGTAAGGTGAGGAAGCAGAGCACTTCTGTGGGTGGCAGCCCGCCAATGACACCCGGTGCTGTGAGGGTGGCTCAATGCACGAAATCTCCAGAATAAACGAGTAGAGAGGAAGAGAGGGGGAAAATTAGGGTATTGACTAACCTCAGCAAGGAAGGTGAGGAAGTAGACCACCTCTGTGGGCGGCAGCCCACCAATGCCGCCCGGTGCTGTGAGGGTTGCTCGGTAGAGGAACTCCGTGTTGAAGTCATGGCCCAGGAGAGTGGTAGACGCCGCCCAGAAGTTTTCGCTGGGAGGTGCAGTGACAGGAATAGTCGGAGAAATGAAGGCACACAATGGCACATGAAGGGGTTAAGGAGGACAATGAATGGGTAGCTCGGTAGAGGAACTCTGTGTTGAAGTCATGGCCGAGGAGAGTGGTAGACACCGGCCAGAAGTTCTCACTGGGGGAAGGGGGAGCCACACGAATGGTTGGAGACGTAACAGGAATGGAGGGGTGGAGGGGAGGGGAAAACACACACAGAGGCACCGGAAGAGGGTGGGAAGGATGGCAAGGGATCACACGAATGATTAGAGACATAACAGGTAGAGAAACTTCGTGTTGAAGTCATGGCTGAGAAGAGTGGTAGACGCCGCCCAGAAGTTCTCACTGGGAGGAGGAGGAGAAGTGACAGAAGAAGGGCGGAGATGTAACAGGAATGTACGGAGAAAAAGGCACACAGAGGCAAACGACGGAAATGGGAGGAATGGTAAGCGTGGCGAGGTAGAGGAACTCTGTGTTGAAGTCATGGCCCAGGAGGGTGGGCGAAGACGGCCAGAAGTTCTCACACAGAGATGCAGTGACAGGAGTGGTTGGAGAGGAAGACATACACAAGCACAGGAAGGGAATGGGAGGGATGGAGATGTAACAGGAATGGACGGAGAGGAAGGCAGACACAGGAAGGGAATGGGAGGGATGGCAAGGAGTGGCTCGGTAGAGAAACTCGGTGTTGAAGTCATGGCCGAGGTGGGTGCGAGATGATGCCCAGAAGTTCTCCCTGGGTGGAGGAGTGGCGGGAATGGGCGGAGAAAAGAGAACTCCAGAATGTTGCAGGGAATTTTTGAGAATTCTAAAAAAATCCCTGGAATGGGTGGAGAAGAGAGAACTCCAGAATGTGATGGGAAGGATGGTGAGGGTGGCTTGATGCAGAAACTCCGTGAGGAGAACAGCTGTCCAGTTGTGGCTTGATGCTTGTGGCTGGTTCTGTTCTGTGAGGGTTGCTCGGTGAAGGGAGCCGTGTTGAATGCATGGCCCAAAAGGGTGCGCGACGATGCCCAGAAATTCTCACTGGAAGGAGTCCGAGTCACACGAGTGAGTGGAGTAAGAGGAAAAGGGGAAGTGATGGGAATGGATGGAATGGATGGAGAAGGAACAACTAATCAGCAACCCCGAAGCTTCACTGAAGCATACTTAAAAGTCAATCCTAGGAGGGTGTGATATGACGCCCAAACTTATCACTAATAGATGCATTTCCTGCTGGTTAGGCGATGTAACGGAAGGAACTACCTGGACACACCTTTGGATGAGCGAGCCATTGATCTGAACGACAACGTTCACTGCCATGATGAGGGAATCTGTCATCTGCTCTGCGGCACTGCCTTTTGGGTCGTTTCAGTACTCACCTTTGAATGATTAAGTAAATCTGAATCGACCACATTCGCCGCCTGGATGAGCGTGTCGGTTAACTGCCTTGCTGCCTCCAGCGCTGCTACAGCGATGGGTGGGGCACTGAAGCAAACCCTCCCAACCCACTTGCGATTGGATGATAACAAAAGATGCTTATCTGAAGTACTCACCTTTGAATGAGAGAGTGGTTGATCTGAATGATGACATTCGCTGACCTGATGAGTGTGCCTGTTGTCGCCTGTGCTGCCTTTTCCGACGTTTCACTACTCACCCTTGAATGAGCGAGTCGTTGATCTGAATGACAACGTTTGCTGCCCTTATGAGCGTGTCGGTTGTCTGCCTCGCTGCCTCCAGTGCTGCTGCCTGCTGCTGTGTCACGCTGTAGGGGTCGAAGCCGTACTGCTGGGTGACGTTGATGGACGCGAGCTGAGGAGAAGGGAGGGTGGGAAGGGGAAAGACGGGTGTTTAAACAGAGCAGTGTCGGTGTGAGAGGGCATAAGCACTAGAAGAACGGTGTGTGATGCTGTAGGGGTTGAAGCCGTTCTGCTGGGTGACGTTGATGGTCGAGAGCTGGTTGGGGAGGGGAGGCGGGCATGGGTGGCGTTGTGGGAATAGATGGGAGTGTAAAGGTCAAAGCCCGTACTGCTGAGTGACGTCGATAGGTGCCAGCTCAGAGGCGAGGGAGGGTGGGAAGGGAGAGGGTTGGGAGGGAAGGAAAGTGTGTAACCCTGTACAGGTCGACGCTGTACTTGCCTTGCCTCAGTACGGCGTCGACCTGAGGCAGGGTTACCATATCCGCAGCAGCTACCTTCACCCCTCAACCCTGTACCAGTGAAGGCAGTGTATGTCACTCACTCATTCACTAACCATATCCATCTCCCAGTGGCAACCTGTCTCCATGCCATGTCACCATGAACATCAGCGTGAGCTTACTGCATGAACCGCCCATCTCACCATGCGAACGACGCGGTTGTTGGCGCTGTTGTTGACAGGTGGGTCCCGCTGAAGGCCCTCCCCAATGAGAGTCATGCGCTGCTCGGGCGAGCAGCAGGGAGGGCGATGGGAGGGAGGGCGCTGAGAAGGTGCAATGTTTAATTAAGTAGATGAAAACAGAATGCTGGCTTGGAAAGGAAGGGTTGAGGCAGGCTGCAAATGAACAAGGGAAGGACGAAAACAAGCTCTCCAAACCGTGGCTGCTCACCTGCAGGGCCAAAAATAAAAGGACTTGGGAAAACGTGACTGGGAAAACCGTGATGTGATCTGGTCTGGGTTGGCACTGCTCACCTGCAGGGTCATTACTCACCTGGAGGGCCTCGGAGAGGTTGGAGCTTGGGAGGGGCGGATTGGGGAGGGGAGCAACTGCAGGCCCGCCTAGTGCCTCTGAGAGTGACTGTAGCGAGACTTGACTGTAGAGGTCGAGCACTGTAGCCAGGTCGTTGGACACGTTCTCTGACACGACCACTCGCATCAGCAGGAGCGCGTCGTTGGTGGGTGACTGTGGTAAGGAGGGGAAGGGAAAGGAGAGCAACAAAGCAGAGAGGTGAAGCACTGCAGCAAGGTCGTTGAACACGTTCTCTGACACGACCACTCGCATCAGCAGGAGAACATCGTCCGTAGGAGACTGTGGTTAGGAAGAGAGTGAGGGGGAGAAGGTGGGGAAAGGGATGAAGGAGGATTTGCACGACCACCCGCATTAGCAAGAGCACGTCGTCCGTAAGGGACTGTGGTAAGGAGGGGAGAGGAAAGGAGAGCAACAACGCAGAGAGGAGCATGGTAGAGCAGAACAAGAGAGGAGAAATGGAGAGGAGAACTGGAGAGGAGAACTGGAGAGGAGAACTGGAGAGGAGAACTGGAGAGGAGAACTGGAGAGGAGAACTGGAGAGGAGAACTGGAGAGGAGAACTGGAGAGGAGAACTGGAGAGGAGAACTGGAGAGGAGAACTGGAGAGGAGAACTGGAGAGGAGAACTGGAGAGGAGAACTGGAGAGGAGAACTGGAGAGGAGAACTGGAGAGGAGAACTGGAGAGGAGAACTGGAGAGGAGAACTGGAGAGGAGAACTGGAGAGGAGAACTGGAGAGGAGAACTGGAGAGGAGAACTGGAGAGGAGAACTGGAGAGGAGAACTGGAGAGGAGAACTGGAGAGGAGAACTGGAGAGGAGAACTGGAGAGGAGAACTGGAGAGGAGGACAGGAGAAGATTTGAATGTTGTAGTCAGAGTCCCTGGAGCATGGACTCATTCACACTGCACTGTCAGAGCACCCATAACTAGCACCAACTGCCATAACCACTCCCTTCACTCACACAAGCACCATCCTTACCAGCACAACACTCGCCATCACACCACTCACCTGTACGACGTAACGACGGTGGGTGCGAGGTCAGGTGGGAGCTAATCCGCCCAGTTGGGCCCGACTAGAGTGAACGTGTTGGAAGCATGGGTGCATGGGTACATGGGTGCATGGGTGCACGCATGTAGGACTGTACTGACAGTAAATGTCTCACCTGTATGACGGTGGGTGCGAGGTCAGGTGGGAGCTCTCCAGCCCAGTTGGGCCCGACTAGAGTGAACGTGTTGGGGCCTGGCCCATTCGCTCGGCTGCCGTTCACACTGAACGCCGGACCATAGGTTTGGAAGAACCCGATGCTGCCAATACGAGCGAGAGAAGAAGAGAGGCAGGGGTCCAGATGGAGGGGATGTGAATGGATCACTGACGTTCCCACTAAACGATGGGCCATATGCCTGGAAGAACCCGATGCAGCGAACAGGACAAGAGGAAGAGCTTGTGGAACAGAGGGGTGTAAGGAAACCAGGGCTTGACAGCCAGTCAGTGATCTGGGCCAAAGGTCCCAGAGAGGAGCCCGACACCACCCACCTGTAGCTCTAGCAGTGTTCAATAACACCTATGTAGATGCGCCCCTTACCTGTAGTAGCGGCTCTGGCCCATGTTAGGCGTTTTGAACACCATGGGCTGATCTCGCAGGTAGAGGAAGGCTCCGCCATACACCGTATCCACATTGGGGAGAGCCACCGCTGGGTGGGTTGGTGCGGGGGAAGGGGGAACGGAGCAAGGAGAGGAGGATGGGGAAGTGCTTCAGCCTCCTCCATACACCGTGTCCACATTGGGGAGAGCCACCGCTGGGTGGGTTGGTGCGGGGGAAGGGGGAACGGAGCAAGGAGAGGAGGATGGGGAAGTGCTTCAGCCTCCTCCATACACCGTGTCCACATTGGGGAGAGCCACCGCTGGGTGGTTTGAAGGGGGGAAGAGCGGGAAGAGAGAGGGGGGTTGTAACGTTGAGAGGGGTGTGCGTCATCCTCCGCATCATTTGAAGGACACAGAAGCATGCATGGCTCACTTGTGGTGCCAACGACAGCGGTGATGTTGGCGAAGGAAACAGACGCATCTAAAGGAGAGAGCAACTCACTGGTGGTGCCGACAACAGCGGTGGTGTTGGCGTAGGAGAAGGCGTTAAGGGCAGCACGGGTGGCCTGCTGGCGGAAGAAGGTGACGAGAGGAGACCCCCACACGAACGCCTCCTGCCCCACCGTGAAGTACCGCACCGCACCCCCCTCCGTGCCATTGCCAGCTGCCCCGGTGAAGTTACCGCTTCCCGTGAAGTTACCGATAGCAGTGGCATTACCAGCAGTAGTTTCATTGCCACTGCCTGGGGGGACGATTTGGGGGGAAACTGTTGCATTACCAGTGCCACTGATGCCACCGCCGCTGTTGCTCCCAGTGCTGTTACCCCCAGGCTCTTGCTGAAGCCCACGTCTCTCTCCCCCTGCTCTACCCTCTTCCACCGATCCCCCACGCACAGTTCCCCTATCCGCTGCTGCCTCGTGTCCAACCCTCTGCAGCAGCCCGCCCCGAACAGGTTCGGCGGAAGCCGAGGAGGCGCAGAGGGGGAGAATCATCACAAGCAGCAGCGGCAGCAGAGCGACAGGCAGCACAGTGACTGAAAGCAGGCGTGACTTAAGCCAACTCGGCCGTGATGCTTGACCCGCGACATTTCTCCCTAGTCGTGAAGGGACCGTGGATAGTACCAGGTCTGGGACTCGGTTCATGATGGCAGATGGTGTAATGGAGTTGCGTGCTGGTGGTGCTGGAGCATCAGAGACCAGAGATGGTTATGGTGAGGAGCCGTCTGGTCCGTTGTCACTGGATTGACTTTTGCAAATCTCAAAAGTCACCAGAGGCCGGAGGTGTTGATGATGAGGAGTTGGCTGGTCGCTAAATGCCGGCGCATTAGCGCTCCTAAGGGCTGTCAAGGTGCTGTTGCTTGTGCCAAGGACTCGTCACTCCCTGTCAAAGAAACGGTGTTCTGGGTCAAGGGCATGCCACAACAAATCCCGTGGCAAGCAGTTGTTACTGTCGCGTTCGACTATCTGTGTAACGCACTTAGTCTCCACTGACCGGAACGGTGAGAAAAGACTGATTGCAAAGTAGCTGAAGCGCCAATACCCTGGAATAGTTTTGGTTTCACTGGCGATAAGTGGATGCTTCTGAGAGTTGAGGACCTCAATGAACAGGAGTTTACTCACTCTTATATGAACCTGATTTCTCGAACACTGTTCCTCGAAATCTGCATATCACTGTTACTTCATGAGAATATACTGACTAGGCTGAATCGTCAGACGACAAAAGAGCAGAAACCGGGAGCTAGACCGCTCCTTTACGAGTCGCGTGCCGTGCTGCCAGTGGGTTTTACTTGAGGTGAAACCCAGGCGGTCGATCCGTTCAAGTCGGCGGTGCGGAAACGATGGACGCTCAAGAGCAACTGAAGTTGCAATCGAGCTTCCGTCTCCAGAAATTTTAAGCCGCTCTCGAGCTTAACGCTTCCGCGACGACTGGATTTCTTTCTGCTTGTGGTGGCCATGGTGCGATCGTCCATGTGATAAGAGACGCGCCTAACATGAGACGTTGTCATCAGGCGGCGAGGATTGCGAGGAATGCGATAAGCGCAGTGAGGAATGCGATAGACGTGACCGTCACGAACCAAGAAACACGAGTGGATGCGATGCATCGCACGGTCGAGAATCGGGGCAAACATCGCATTATGATACCGAGGCATCCCACGGCGAAAGCTGGAAACATAAGAGCACGCGCCGTACGAAAGCGCACATGTCACTAGTATGAAACACAAAGGCGATCCTCTACTCGGATACGGAGGATCCACGAATCCCCAACTGTAGGACCGGGCAAATTGCTACTTTCTCCTCCAACAAAGGTTCCATGGCTGCGCAGGTCCGCTGTAATTCGCAAAATCTTAGCGCCGAAGCGATATCGAATCGAGGTGAACGTTCCTTTTCGTCTCCTTTGACCGCCTTAGCTACCCAGCTTCTTAGAGCCTGCGTCGATTCCCACGCCATGGCCAGTCGAATCTCAGTCCTTGCCTGGAAATGCTCGTCATTGAATCGACTTTCGTGGAAGAAAAGTGGGTGGTGTGGAATGGATCCAAACATCGGATTAGCCGCCATTTTATTCAACTACAACTTGACAAGGCCATCTATCGCTTTCGATACCGAGCTTGCGCTACTAAGGACGCGGCACCTGTAGCACCGACCCTGCGATCGACCCTGCGCAGGATCGATTTTTTGCGGAGTTAAGAGCTGTGTTGGGAATTTTAAATGCTTTCAGAGAGTTTTAGTGCGGTGCAATCAGCGATCCTGCGATCGATCCTGCAAAATTGCTAGTGGTGCCGCGTCCTTAGGACGTGACGGGAGCGGTGTTGTCCCTGAGCAAGGCATAGGCGCAGATTTCGAGGGTTGGCGACCCAGAGGTGAGGGAAGAGGAGCGGGTGGGCACCCTCCCGCGCCGCCTCGCCAGGCATCCAACGGAAGGTGTGGAATGGAATTCCCAAGAGGCGGGAAAGAGCAAGGCAATCTCCTTTCCTTTCCCGCCTCGTGAAACGTAGCTCCTTGAAATTGTATGCGACGTGAAATCGTTTAGGTAAAGGAGGGGGGGAAACCCCTCTGGGTGTTAACCACACCTGGCTGTCGGTCGTAACCCGCCTCCCCATTTGTTTACACTCCTCGCTGGGTCAACGAGGTTGTTCTATCCACTCCCAGATGAGCACCTGTGTAGCCCCTTTTGGGGGCTGGCAGAATACGCCGCAGGGGGGATTTGATCCCGGGACCTCATCTTTCGGAAGTGAACCAGTACTCGCTGGGCCACTTCAGGATAGACGTGAAATCGTTTAGGCAAAAGGCAAACACAAACACAATTTCCTTGGGTACGAGACATTCAATGCCGGGCATTCGCTTAAAGCCCAAGACCTGAATTACTCAACGCAAGTCAACGGAAAAAAATAGGTTCGGAAGGCAACCAGACAGAGGTTCGGTTGGGGTGCGAAGCACTTTCACTCGCGAAACCAATTTGCGACAAAAGTTTCTCGCGTACAAGAATACGAGTGCTAGGTGGGGTCCTTCCCACAACCTGAAAAGGGCGTAGATCCCAAACTGTGCACAGTCTGAGATAGCACGCAGATAACTAGGCAGGGAGCGTACCTGTAGAGATAGCGGGGAATCAGAGGCGCCTTACGAATGTGTGTGGCGCGGATTTCGATGACGACGCGCAAAGTAGTGTTCGTTGGTGTCGAAATGCAGGTTTAGTGCAACTGATGCGTATACTCGCACGGAATATCGTAGCGTGACCCTTCGCCAAAGCATGAACCTCTCCTTGCCGTCGTTTTCCTTTCCCAAGGCCCCACGATTTCAATCTCTTTCGCCATCGCTTCCCCAGCTCGTCGCCTTCAAGACCTCCTTCCGATGCCTTCGCGACCCCAGCCCGTCGCCTTCGCTCCGCCCGTTGCCCTCGCTTTCCACGCCTGTCGCCTTCTCTTCCCCTCCCCCGTCGCCTTCTCTTTCCCCCGACCCTGTCGCGCTCAATTCCCCCTCCCGTCGCTTTTCCCGCCCGTCGCCTTCGCTTCTCCCGAACGGCGCCTTCCGTTCCCCCGCCCGTCGCACTCGCTTCCCCCGCCCGTCGCTCTCGCTTCCCCCGCTCGTCGCACACCGCGCCAGTCGCACACGCTTCCCGCCCGTCGCACTCGCTTCCCGCCAGTCGCACTCACTTCCCGCCCGTCGCCTTCACTACCCCTCCCATTGCCGTTCACTCTCTCCAGCTCACGCTCTGCCCTCCACTCACTCTCTTCCCCACCCTTCACTCTCTTCTCTCATGTACACTCCCTTTCCCCCTGTTCTCACTCCTCTCTTTCCCCCTCGCCTCACTCTCTACCCCCCTGCTCAATCCCTTCCCCCCTCGATCTCTTTCCCCTACTCACGATCTACCCCCCTGCTCAATCCCTTCCCCCCTCGATCTCTTTCCCCTACTCACGATCTACCCCCCTGCTCAATCCCTTCCCCCCTCGATCTCTTTCCCCTACTCACGATCTACCCCCCTGCTCAATCCCTCCCCCCCTCAATCTCTTTCCGCTGCTCACTCTCTCACTCTCTCCCCCTCTGCTCACTCTGCGCCCCTGCTCACTCTCTTCCCCCCTGCTCACTCCCTCCCCCCCTGCTCACTCTTTCCCTTCCTGCTCACTCTTTCCCCCTCTGCTCACTCTCTCCCCCTGGACTCACCCGCCTTTCCTCCCTGTTTACTCTCGATTCCCCTTCGTTTAACCTTTTTTCCCCACACTACTCTTATTTCCCCTGTTCAGACCCCTCGGTTTCCCCTGCTTACTGGCTTTCCCCCCTGCTCACCCCCTTCTCCCCCCTGCTCACTCTCTTTCCCCTTTTGCTCACCCCTCTGCCCCGTCCACATCCAACCCTCGCTTATCTGCCATACCCCCTCTTCCCTTCCCGTTCTATCACGGAACCATGCTTGAACAGGTTACAGGTGCCCAGCACCATGAGTCCCAACAGGAATGTGATGAATGTGTTCCTGTAGTCTATTGATGACAACTTTTACATAAACAATATTATGCTTTGTTCCACTTCTTTGTAGTGGCCATGTGCATGGCTGCTCTGAAGCAGAGAAGGTTTTATTAATAAAAGCATAAGCATCAATACATGGCATGGCAACCTATTTGTCATACCACTATCATCAAACAACGAACACCTCACATCTGGGTGCATGGCAGACCTGCACAAACACGAACCACAAAATTTTGTGTGTCATATGTTGGAGCAGCTGGGAAGGAGACCGTACAAAACAATAACAATCAAAGGGCAATCCCCTTGAATATACAAACAGGCTAGGAGTGTACAGGCTTGGAAGGGAAAGGGTGGATGGGAGGATGTGAGAAATTCGAGGGAGTAGGCAAGTGGGTCAGACAGAAAGGCGGAGGATAGGAATATCGGAAGATGGCAGCTTGAAAAAAAGGGCAGCAGGGTGGAGAGGCAGGAGGATGAAAGAAAGAGTGGGTGGGAGAGTGGTAGGGAGGAGGGAGGCTTGGAGGAAGGGCGGATGGGAGAAAGTGAGGGAGGTAAAAGTGTGGCAGGGTATAAGGGAGGAACGGGGAGAAGGGAGAATCAGAGAGAAGGAAAGAAGGGTACAAGGGTGTGGGGGGAGCGTGGGTGACGGTGGGAGGGAGTGTAGGGAGAGTGGGAGGCAGTGAGGGCGACGGAGTGAGGATGGGCGGATGAGAGGATGGGCGGATGAGAGGATGGGCGGATGAGAGGATGGGTGGAACGGAGGAGCAGGGTTGGCATGAGGAAGGGAGTGGGCGAGAGGGAGATGGAAAGGGAAAGGGGGACTGGATCGAGGGAGGATGAGGAGAGGGAGAATGGCAGGAAGGGAGGGCGGGAGGAAGGGAGGGAGAACGGGCAACAGAAAGGGGAAAGAGGGTAGTGAGGCAGAGAGTGTGGGATAGATGGAGGAAGGGAGGAAGAGAGAGGGAGAGGAGGACGACTGTGGGGGCCCCACGGAACGGAGTAAGGGAGGAGGGCAGGAGGTAAGAGTGTGGCAGGAGGTAAGGGGGATAGGAGGATCCCTGCACCCTCTCTCCCTAACCCCTCCCCCGCTCCGCCTCCCCTAACCAGCCCCCTGCAGCACTGCACTCCTTGCTGCCCGCCTGCACGCGCTGCCCTGGCTGTGCGCCCAACACTCTGCTCCAAAGCCGCACCACCACCTGCCATGGGCGACAGTGAGGGGAAGCGTGGGCGACGGTGAGAGGAAGCGTGGGCGACGGTGGGGGAAAGCGTGGGCGACGGTGAGAGGAAGCGTGGGCGACGGTGAGATGAAGCGTGGGCGACGGTGGGGGAAAGCGTGGGCGACGGTGGGAGGAAGCGAGCGCGACGGTGGGGGAAAGCGTGGGCGACGGTGGGAGGAAGCGAGCGCGACGGTGGGGGAAAGCGTGGGCGACGGTGGGAGGAAGCGAGCGCGACGGTGGGGGAAAGCGTGGGCGACGGTGGGAGGAAGCGAGCGCGACGGTGGGGGAAAGCGTGGGTGATGTGCGGGGAAGCGTGAGGGAAGGTGGGGGAGGGCGCGAGCGACGGTGTGGGGAAGCGTGGGGGAAGGCAGGAGGGAGCGTGAGCAGCGGTAAGGGAAAGCGTGAGCGACGGTGGCGGAAAGCGAGGGCGACGGTGGGGGAAAGTGTGAAAGCGACGGTGGGTGGGAGCGTAAGCGACAGTGGGGGGAAGCGTGGGTGACGGGAGGAAGAGCGTGGTCAACGACGGAGTGAAGTGTGATCGACAGCGGGAAGAAGCGCGGGCGACGGTGGGGGGAAGCGTGGGGGACGGCGACGTCGACGAGGGGAAGCGTGTGTGGCAGGGTGTGACGCCGACAAGGAAGGACGGTGGGGGAACATAGCTGAGGCAAACATAGGGCGAATGCGCGGGAAATGGCAGCGATCGACCGTACGATTACCTAATATCGACCTCGGAGAGGAGATGCATGCGCCGCAAACTGACGTTTTCGCGGTCGCGCAGGGTTTCGACGACGACGCTGAGTGAAAAGTGGCGCCATCGCATAGAATCTGTTTGGTGTTTTTTTTCCTACCAAACTATTGGGCTCGGGCTCTATTGGCTTTCTGTTCTACCTAGGAGTTTCACGTGGATACTATGTGGTCGAGCATGACCTGAATTACCACAATTTCCAAACTGCGCACAGCTTGCCTTCCCCTACTCCCTTCAGGAGGGAGCGGTTGGGACTCTCGCCAACCAATTTTGTGCTGCTCTACGACTCTCTGGTTCTTTGCGGGGCGTCATTTGGTAACCAGAGAGGCTCGGGAAGTCAACGGTGGGCTCGGAAGGCAAACTGTGCACAGTTTGCCTTCCTTTTTTTGTAATTCAGGTCTTGGGCTTTAAACCTGTAAGTTGAGACTCACTTACGGTAGCTCACTCAACTACCAACCAGAAGTGGTAAAAAGGAAACAACAGCATGAATTTCAACAATCGAAGCAAAAACATAATTTTCAATGACTAAGACTTGATTGACTTTGATAGAATCATGTATGGGGGGGGGGGGGGGGGGGGTGGTGGGCACCCCTTAGCTGCATACCATGGTTCAGTAGCATGAATACAAGGTCCCACCCGCACACAACTGGTGAACGCCACATCCTGATGTGATGCATTGAGGCATCGGAGATGAACCATCAGCCTCACAACGCAAGGCCATCACTACCCATAAAATGACGATTCAGGTACCTCAGAAGAGCATCATCCACCCTGCACACAGGCCATCAGCCAGAACACGCACATTCATACACAAGACTGAATAAGCGAGCAGCTTTTCCAGAACATCCAAAGCAGTGAACGAGGCCAACATCACCAAAGCAGTGAGAGGCACAACACACTGGTTAGTGGCAGTCAGCAAAGAGTACTCACCATGGTAGAGCATAAAACTCTGCATCTTGGTCAGCACCCTCAGGACCAAACGCATGTGCATTTCCAGCACCTTCCACTCCTCCCTGCTGCATCTGATCCAGATCTCTCTGCTGCGAAACCATCAAGTCCCTGATAAACTCCCCAGGAGAGTGTGAAAACGCTAGGAAAAAGGCGCGCCGCCGCCGGTGCTTAGCTAAAAGCTCTGCGTCTTTTGCCACGGCAGCATCAATCGCGTCTATCTCCGGCTGTTGTCCCATCGCTGCAATCACACGGGCTGTTTCGGCTGCGAGAGCAGGAGCTTCTGTTACAGTCACATCCACACATGTGTCGGCCGAAACAGGGGGCAGGGTCTCATACGAAGGAAGGCTGGTGGGTGGGCCCAGCGGATGAAAGGAGGGATCTAAAGAAGGGAGAGTGGCGGAGTGTGTGGGGGAGGTGGCGAGGGAGATACGGTGGGTGATGGTGAGAGGCGGTGGAGGAGAGAGGAACGGGGAGATGTGGATAGGGAGGGAGGAGATTTTGAGCTTGTCTTGGTTGAAGATGGCTTGGAGGGTGGCATCGCAGGTGAAGGAAGAAGGGTCTGAGGGATCCTGTTGAAGAAACGTGGGAGAAGAAGCAGCAAAATGGAGGGATGTGGATGGTAGGGGAGAAACAAACAATAGCTAACTGAGGAACGTGGATAGTAAAGGAGAAACAACAGCAAGTTGGGGAGAAGCAGCTGTTGGATCAGCATTCTGAAGCTTGTTGGCATTACTGTTGAAATACTGAAGAGATGTCAAGCTACACGAGGATGGCATAAGGCCCGTCAAGCCACACGAGTTACAAAAAAAAGCTGACACAGAAGATCACTCACCTGCAGCTTGTTAGCCTTTATATGATTCCAAAGGCCCTTCAATACTTGCAGCCTGGTCGCCACACTCATCCCCACCACCGCTCCCAACCGCTCTCCCACACTGTACACTTCCTCCCCCTGCTTCAGCTCCACACGAAGCTCCACAGATAATTCACTGGTCCCCTCTCGCTGCATCTCCACCGTTGATGCATCTGGTCGGAGAATCCCGTCCCTGTCAGCGTCCCACAGGGTCACCGCGTTGTTGGGTGGAGGGAACAGCTTAGGGTCTAGCCGAGCCTCGATCCGCTGGACGTGCCGAGCCAACGGGCCAGCCACGGAGTCCCGAACCTTGAAAACTCCCGAGCCTAGCAAAGCCTGGCTCAAGCCTGATTCTCCAACGGCTGGATCCGCTCCGCGAGACTCTGCATCTGCTAATATCGCGGACATTGCTACGGATCGCTCTTTCTCGGTGCTTTCGACGCGCTTCGTGCTCAGGGGAAATTTTCCTCCTGAAAAATCACCTGTCTGAGTACCGAATTGCTTCTCATCTTCGCCCACCATTCGCGCCACGACTCGCAAGGTCCAGCGAGGCACATCAACGGCTGCGATCGATCCATCCACATCCGATTTCATTCCGCTCTGCACTGCGCGGTCCTGGAACGAGTGAGTATTAAAGACGTAAAGCCTGAGGCTTCGCGTGACACGTGGCATTGCGTGGATCGATTCGGAAAGCTCCACCTTAACGCGCGATAGGACGAGATCCATCTGCCGCTCCTCGGCCTGGAGTCGCGTAAGCATAGCAGACTCGGGAGCTAATATCGCCGAAAAGCCATCGCCGGTCGTTAAAGACGCGTTCGGTCCTTTCACTCTCTCCTTATACTTCTTGCGCTTAGCGGGAGGTACGGCTTCTGTCGTCAGAATTCTGACGTCAGCGGCTGCTTTACTACCCGAGCCGTCTTTACCGTCCTTGCCTAATTTGCTCGCATCTCTCCTACCTCCTAGACCCATTGACGTGCGTCCAGACGCCATGCTCGTAAAGCGCCTGCTCGTCTTATTGCCTTGTATACTTATGCTCCGCGGTGAATGATCGGGCCTGCTAGTAGCGCACAAGACCGCACCAGTTGTGATAGGGGCTCTGCTGTTGTTGACTGATAATGCCTGTGCACGGGTACCTACTAATATGAACGGGTTAACTACACACTGGCTCTGTTCTGTAGGCATTTGCCCGAAGGGGGAGGAGGGGGGGCGAAAGCAAATGACCCGTGTTCCTACGCAGTTTCCCAACCGAGATCGCCTCCACCCCGCTACAACCGAAAGCGCGAAACTTCGGGAGAGAGGGCGGAAACTGCAGAAGGTAAATGGCGAACTTACATGCTCAACTTCGCGCCCCATTGGAAGGGGTACATCGAATCGCCCAAACCTCAAAAGCGGGGTAAACATTTGCATAAGGGGGTTCAGCGCTGTAAAAAAAAGGTTGCAAACTCAACTCCCAACTTTCGCAACACATCTCAAACATCCGCAGCAGACCACCACCTCTAACCAAGCAGGGTGGTTGAGAGAGAGCTTTTTTTTTGTCGATGGGGTTGTGCTTTTCTGTGGGGGTTACGAGCAGCCTGAGGGAATGACCGTAGAGGGTTGAGAGGGGGTGTCCCCACCCCCCGTACCTCCCTCCCTTGTCTCTCGCCCCGCCCTGAAAAAGCGGGTTTCGAAGGGCGGGGCGAGTGGTTAAGGTTAAGGTTATATTAGGTCGTAACCGTGTACAGCAAAGCATAGAGTAGCTAGAAATATGGTCTACACAAACCAACAGCCCAGAGGCGTACGTAAGAAAACACGTTATTCCCCTATCCAAGGATAGCCACCAGCTCAGCTGGGGAGCTCTTCTATGCTCAACAAAGGGTGGGAGGGCTAGGGGGGGCGGAAAGGGTCCCCAAGCAGCCAGGAAGAGCGGAGGTCTGGGTGGATAGAAGGGGTTCCGTTGTGGTCGAAGACGAGAAAGCGAAGTCGAGTGGCCAGCTTAATACGAGCGGCTGAGCGTTGTTGTTTTTTCACTGATTGTTTCTTCCTGCGCCATAAGAAAATTTTGAAAGCAATGAGGAACTTTGCCAGTATGAGCTGGAGGATTTCAAACCTGGAGGGGGGCGAATCTTGGAACTTGTGTTCACAGCGTGCGTTCCAAATAGCTTTTGTAGATGCCCCAACCAGAAGGCTCCAAGGGGCCACCTGGCCAGCTCTGGAGGCGAGCGGGAAGAGCAGGAGCTCAGGAGGAGGAGAGCAGTGGAGGTGACGACGAGCGACGGAAGAGAGGGCGGAAATTACCACGGGGGCCACCCCGCACTCGTAAAAAATGTGGGATATGGTCTCCGTGGGAGCGGCGAGGCAGAGTGAACAAATCCCACGGTCTGCGGCGAAGTTGAAGCGTGAACCCGAAGGGAGAGCGCGAGTGTAGAACCGATACAAGACGTCGCGTTGGAGGCTGGGTTGCTCCCGTAAAAAGTCATGGGAGAGGTCGGGGAGGAAGGGAGGAGGAGCGGGGAGGACGTGGATCCAGCGGGCGGCGTGGTCGAGGGGAAGTTGAGCATAGAGCCGGCGACGAATGTCAGCTACGCTTGGGCAGCCGTCCCGGAGGATGTCGAGCCGCGCGCCAAGCCCTGCACCTGTATGGAAGGGGCCTGCAAGCCAGGACCCGACAACGTGTACCGCACAGAGGGCACCTATGTGGAAGGTGCTATCTCCGATCGACGGTCGGACGATGAGTCGGTTGGGCAGGACACGGTAAAGGGAGACTGAGAGCGACGACGGAGGGGAGAAGGCCGTGACCTGGAAAGCAATAGTGGGAGAGGTTTCGGAGTCTTCTTTAGGGACGAACCACTCCCCAGGGACTGCCGAGGGGGGAGGGGGGGAGCGAAGGGTTGACCACCAGGGTTTGGGGATGGCACGGATGAGTTCGCGCCAGACTCTTCGTCCAGAGGAGGAGTTGGCTATGGGAAACAGTGAGGTGAAGTGTTTGAAGGAGACCACACCAAGCGAGTGAAAGATAAGAGAGATCAAATGGCCGACACGGACCTGCTTAGATAGGAGGAAGTGTTCACGCGTGAGGATTCCGAAGGGCTTCCCGTTTGGTTTGAGAATGAAACGATTGAAGGCGGTGGGCTCGCCCATTATACACATGGGGACGAGGCGAGGTGGGGCAATGTTCGGAGTGATCTCTATTAATGCGTGTAGTTCAGCGAGTGCTCGGCCTGGGATTATCGTTGGCAGAATGCCTGCTTGAAGGATGGCAGGGTGCGCGAAGAGACAGTGTGTGCCAAATGGGAGGCAGACGGCGGCTCTGGCTATCTCTTCTGATGGTGAGGCGCCGAGGCGACGGAGCGCGCGGTGAGCAGCTAGAGCACGGATTTGGGTGGAGGGGGCAATCGCTCCAAGGCCTCCGTGGCGGATGGAATTATACAGGAGCCGATTAGGGATGAGACGGACCGCTAGGCCGTGCTCCTTGAAACGCGAAGAGGATAGAAAGTTTCCGACCAGGACGTCTAATCGTTTGATAACGTCGGGGGAGGGGGTTTGAAAGCGGCCGGGGAAGGAGATGATAGAGTTTAAGAAGACCAACGCAAGTGACTTGCGGCAGGTGGCTGTGGCACGAAGGGCGGCGAGGAATTTAGCCGTGCGCTGAACGCGATAGAGAGTCGTGGACCAGGTGGTGGCGCCTGGTTGTGCACGTTCAACGTAGATGCCAAGAATGCGTTCTGCCTCTTGAGGAGTGCGAATGGGAATGGGGCCGGCCAGAAGGATTTGTTCCGGGGAGATATGAAAAGGGATTATTGAGCATTTGTTCCAGTTAGGGTGTTCTCCTGAGACTGCGGCGAAGGTCCTGAGGTGTATGAGTGTGGTCCCAAGCTCTCTAACAGAGGAGAGGAAGATGGTGACGTCGTCAGCGTAGCAGGCCATGAGACGGCGCTGGGTCGGAGAGAGGGGGAAACCCGGGAGGAAGAGCGATAGGTAGCGCTGTAGGATTTCAATGACACACACAAAGAGGAGGGGGGCGAGGGGGCATCCTTGTTGGACCCCGGTGAAGGGCGGGGCGAGTGGCGTGTTTTTTGCCAGAGAAGGAAGGTGGGGAGGGGAAATCGGTAGTTTCGTATGGGCCAAAAACCCACGGGGGTAAATGGCTGTTCTGTAGCCATTTCCCCTGCACAGGTTCGGAGGGGAAATGGCTGGCTCGGCACCGTCTGCAAAACGGTTAGCCGTTCCGGACCAAAAAACGAAGGAGGGGGAAGCTACCTATTTCCCCTCGCCCCCCCGCCGCCAGGGCCTACAGAACAGAGCCACTGTCCTCATGCCTGCAAGGGCGCAGTACTATACTAATACGGGTGAAATAATTGTGCACGGGTACTTACTAATACGCACGGGTTAACTACACACCCCTGGAAAGGCGCAGTAATCTACTCGGTACTTAATTAAAATTGAATGCTTCAGACTCCCGCCTCCGCCCTGGTCTTGGACACAATATCGAGATGATTGTCGAAGTTGGAAGTGAGCACAACGCTAAGTGTCTGGATTGTCGGGCGTGAAAAGTGGGCACCAGCGCGACAACATCCGTTGCCCGTGTGACGCACAAACTGTGTGGTACTTAACGAAAGAGACCTGACCCAAACACGTCCTCGGGGAGAGGGTTTCTTGGGAGTTCAGCGACAACGGCTCTTTCGCCTTTGGCATCGCACCAAACCGAGTAAATGCACGTTGATAACGGTTCAGTAAGTTTTGTTACGCTGTAATTGGTTCAAGTAGCATTCCAGAACGGTTGGTAAGGGTATTAGCGAAACGCCAGCGTGCCTTTTCTCAGCCCACCAAAACTAGCCTCCTAAGGGCGCGTGTGATATTTTTTTAGAAAGGTTCTACAGCGTAGGACACTATTGAGAGATTTCTCGCCACGGTGCAAAGCGATTTAATTTCGAACTTCGACAAATTTTCAAGGATCACACTCACCCTAAGTCGCATTTCGCCCCTAGCTCCTTTCCAGCTTTCTAGGCTGTCAATATTTCGAAATGCTCGCCTCATACATCGATTTCCAGGTCATGAATCGAACCGTAGCGGCACAATCGAAGACAAGGAGGCGGCGTCAGTATTCGAGAGCAATCTAGGGTGACGAACAATCACGTGCTCTTTTGTTACGCCTCATTGGATTCCTGCGATTATGACCAGAATCATGGCGACAATTGTCATTAGATATGCATTTTCGAATTCGGGCCATCTCTTTGAAGCACCTAGAGAAACGCATTCCCGTTTGAAACGATGCGCGTCATTGCTGCTCCCAGCCACGGCGCCGCTCGTTCCGTCCAATCAACGGGTCAGAATGCGTCAACCATCAGACTCACTGCGACATATGTCATCAGCTTTCCATGTATCGGCGTAGCTCCACCATCATACAGCGGTCAGCAATCAGCAGGAAGAGGTTTCAGGGGATTTTACAAATTCCACGTCTCCCCATCGCTCCGCCATCTCACAGCTCGCACAACGACCGGTGATCACGCTGCGTGCGAACGAGCCTGCGCGTTACTATCCACGCCGCGAGGCGTCGCGCGCACACTGTCACCGTAGCATCACGGTGCAACATCATATCGTATCAATTCCACCGTCTCACGCCGATCAGCGACCAGCGATCAGCAACATAACCAGCCTGCTCGTCACTACCACCCCCTCGAGTATCGGGCCATTCGTGGGAGAAGCCCTCCTGAGTCGACTCAGATTCACCTCGTCAATTGTGCTCACGCGTCACAGACAGGTCACTGACCTACGTCAGGCGGAGAAACGAGCCACACCCCTCGCGTGAGTCTTACGCGGCGACACTGCACCACCACCGGCGACATCGTCTGTTGACGCGTCTTTACAACGCACCTTTCAAGCGCCATTCTACCAGATTCTCTGTAGCGACAGTCACACGGACGGACCCCCACCCCACACGAGCAGTTAACCCTGAAAAGTCCCTTCAGACGGCGGCTCCATTGCCTGTCCCTTCCCACTCACTCCATTGTCACTCACTCACTCACTCACTCACTCACATACCTACCACAGCAGCCTGAGACGGTGTAGCGATGGCGAACAGATTGATAACTGCACGTGAGGAACCACTAGACGGAATAGTGCAGCCATGGGGAGAACGATCACTGAGCGAGAACGTGAACGGTCAGCGAGAAAGCTCCGCCGCTGTGAATCGTCAAGCCTGTCCCAATCATCAGGCCAAGCAGCCGCTGCTTCTGGGCACCGTGCTTGCTGTCCCACTGCTGCTGGCGATGATGGTGATTGCTGTAATCGCCCCCTCTGCATCCCTTCAGGCATTCAATGGCAGGTCTACACAGATGCACAGTGGGCCAGCTCAGGAGCATGGGGTGGCACGAGTTGCTGGGATGGTGGTAGGGGAAACGGGGAGAGCTGGGAGGAGGAGGCTTCAGGAGCCGTTGGGTGGCTTGGGTATGGGCAACGAGGCAAACACCGGTGATGCCAGTAGCAGCAGCGATAGCAATAGCATGGATCCTGCTGGCTACCCGGGGCTCCCTGAGGGTGCTGCTACCAGCGCTAGTGCTGGTAACGATACAAGTGCTGATGCCAGTAACAGCACTGCAGAAACCAGTATCATTCCTGGTAGCGACAGCACAGGATCTGGTAATACCAGGGCCCCCACCAGCATCTCGCCTGCAGGCAATAGCGCTGTTGCTGGTAACAGCACTGGAGGTGGTAACGGCGCAAGAGGTGGTAACTTCACTGGAGCCAATAGCGCCATAGCTCCCAGCAGCAGCACAACGCCTGGGGGAAACAGCAGTGATGCTGGCAATGGTACAGAGGGAGGGGCGTTGCAGAACGTCACTGGGGCTGCTGGCAATGGCACGGAGGGGGGTGCGGTGCGGTACTTCACGGTGGGGCAGGAGGCGTTCGTGTGGGGGTCTCCTCTGGTCACCTTCTTCCGCCAGCAGGCCACCCGTGCTGCCCTCAACGCCTTCTCCTTCGCCAACACCACCGCTGTTGTTGGCACCACCAGTGAGTTGCTCTCTCCTTTAGATGCGTCTGTTTCCTTCGCCAACACCACTGCTGTTGTCGGCACCACCAGTGAGTTCAACTCTCCCTCGTTTGAAGCATGTTTTCGATGCCAACACCACCGCTGTTGTCGGTCGGCACCACCAGTGAGTCGTGCTTGCTCGTTGTTGCCTCCTCCTCATGCATCATTCGTGTCTGAGTGAATTTTGATGCGACTGTTTCCTCCATTTCCCCCGCACCACCCCACCAGACACGGCTCTCCCACATGCGGACATCATCCTCCATTCATGAAACACTTCCCCCATTCTCCTCCCCTTTCCCCCCTTTCAAACCCCACCAGACGTGGCGCTCCCCAATGTGGACACGGTGTATGGAGGGGCCTTCCTCTACCTGCGAGACCAGCCCATGGTGCTGAAGACCCCCTACATGGGCCAAGGCCGCTACTACAGGTGAGGGGCGCAGTTATAGGTGATGTTGGATGCTGCTGCAGGTGAGTGCCGTGCTGCTATTACAGGCGAGAAGCGTGCAAACGGTGTAAGTGTAACATTTTAGAAGCATTTTCTTTTTCTGCCGAAATTCATGCAAGGCAGAATCAATTTGTGAACTTTTGAGTCGACTCAAAAGCAGGCTTGATAAAGTTCACCCTTATCAATTTGTGAACTTTCGACTCTCCTCCAACTCCACCCTCCTCTCCTCCCTTGTGTTGGCAGCGTCAGGTTCTTCCAGACCTACTATTCGGATCGGATTACAGTGAGGTGAAGGGCATCCGAGCCAATGGGCCAGGCCGCAACACAATTCTAGTGTGAACCGCTTCCCCTTTGAGCTAATCCTCACTGAACCACTTCCTCCCGTCCCCCATTTGCGTGCCAGCGTCGGCTTCTTCCAGACCTACTACTCGGATTTCAGTGTGAACGGCAGCCGAGCCAACGGGCCAGGCCCCAACACGTTCACTGTTGTCGGGCCGGATTGGGCCGGAGAGCTGCCTGCCGACCTCGCTCCCACCGTCATACGGGTGAGGAGGGGTCTAGTCAACACAGGCATAGGTTGTTTCCTTTTATTACACACGTGGCCCTATGCACCCATGCCCCGCTACGTTCACTGTTGTTGGGCCGGACTGGTTTGGAGAGCTGCCAGCTGACCTCACACCCGCTGTCATTCGGATGAGATGAGAAATCGTTCCCAAAGTACACTTCATTTCTTTCATTTTTCTTTCACCCAAAAGTTCACTGCTTTTTGGCCCAACTGACTGTGCAGGGCAGCTGCCTTCATCAGCGCACTACCGATCAAACACAATGACCCCTCTTACCTTTTGTCGTTTCCTCAACCCCCTTCCTCCTCCTTTCTTTCCCCCCTCTTCTTTCTCCTCCCTTTCCCCCCCCTCCCATCTCTTCCCCCCTACCCCTGCTTCCCACAGTCACCCACCAACGACGCACTCCTGCTGATGCGAGTGGTCGTGTCAGAGAACGTGTCCAACGACCTGGCTACAGCACCCTCTTCTCTTCACCTGCTTCCCACTCCCATCCTTTGCTCAGCTATATTTCCTCTCCTTTCCCCCTCCCCCTTCTTTCCACAGTCACCAACCAATGACGCTCTCCTGCTGATGCGAGTGGTCGTGTCAGAGAACGTGTCCAACGACCTGGCTACAGTGCTCGACCTCTACAGTCAAGTCTCGCTACAGTCACTCTCAGAGGCACTGGGCGGGCCTGCAGTTCCGCCCCTCCCCAATCCGCCTCTCCCCAGCTCCAACCTCTCCGAGGCCCTCCAGGTGAGCAACGGCCATCCTTCTTCTCTCTCGTTCTGAGTTCTGCTCCCTAGGTGAGCAAAGGCCTTTAACAACACATCACGGTTTCCCCGGTCACCTTGACATTTCCTTAGCACTATCAACCCCCTCACCTCTTCCCAGGCCCTCCAGGCCACTCCATTCCATTCCAATCCATTCCACTTCCCCATTCCATTCCCGTCTCCCTTCCTCCCTCCCTCCCATCACCCTCCCTCGCTCCCACCACACTCCCCATTGCCCTTCCTGCTGCTCGCCCGTGCAGCGCATGACTCTCATTGGAGAAGGCCTCCAGCGCGACCCACCAGTGAACAACAGCGCCAACAACCGTGTCGTTCGCATGGTGAGATGGTTGGTGTAGCATGTTAACGTGCACGGCATAATGAGGAGAGTGGACACGGTAGAGCAGTGCAGTGCGGTGCAGTGCAGTGCAGTGCAGCATGCTGACATGGATATGACATAGTAAGGTGAAGGGACACGGTACAGCAGTGCAACTTTTGAGGTGCCTCGAAAGACATTGTCAGGAGAGGGGACATGGTATGGTAGAAAAGTGCAGCATGCTGACCTGCCTGCCTGCCAATAAACAGCGCCAGCAACCCCGTCGTCCGCACCGCACGGCAGGGCATTGTGCATCCGTCAACATCACCCTGCGGTACAGCTTTGAACTTCACACGGCCACACAACTAACAGCGGTATCCCATCTATGCCCACAACTAACCCCACCCCCTCCGTCCTCCCCCATCAGCTCGCGTCTATCAACGTCAGCTGGCTGTATGGATTCGACCCCTACAGCACAGCGTGATGCGGCACACCTTCGTTCTAGTTCTTGTGCCCCCTCCCACCAACCCGGCTATGCCCAATCCTCCACATCCGACTTCCTCCCTCTCCCTACCCCACCAGCTCGCGTCTATCAACGTCACCTGGCTGTATGGATTCGACCCCTACAGCACAGCGTGACGCGGCACACCTTCCTTCTAGTTCTTGTGCCCCCTCCCACCAACCCGGCTATGCCCAATCCTCCACATCCGACTTCCTCCCTCTCCCTACCCCACCAGCTCGCGTCTATCAACGTCACCTGGCTGGATGGATTCGACCCCTACAGCACAGCGTGACGCGGCACACCTTCCTTCTAGTTCTTGTGCCCCCTCCCACCAACCCGGCTATGCCCAATCCTCCACATCCGACTTCCTCCCTCTCCCTACCCCACCAGCTCGCGTCTATCAACGTCACCTGGCTGGAAGGATTCGACCCCTACAGCACAGCGTGACGCGGCACACCTTCCTTCTAGTTCTTGTGCCCCCTCCCACCAACCCGGCTATGCCCAATCCTCCACATCCGACTTCCTCCCTCTCCCTACCCCACCAGCTCGCGTCTATCAACGTCACCTGGCTGTATGGATTCGACCCCTACAGCACAGCGTGACGCGGCACACCTTCCTTCTAGTTCTTGTGCCCCCTCCCACCAACCCGGCTATGCCCAATCCTCCACATCCGACTTCCTCCCTCTCCCTACCCCGCCAGCTCGCGTCTATCAACGTCACCTGGCTGGATGGATTCGACCCCTACAGCACAGCGTGACGCGGCACACCTTCCTTCTAGTTCTTGTGCCCCCTCCCACCAACCCGGCTATGCCCAATCCTCCACATCCGACTTCCTCCCTCTCCCTACCCCACCAGCTCGCGTCTATCAACGTCACCTGGCTGTATGGATTCGACCCCTACAGCACAGCGTGACGCGGCACACCTTCCTTCTAGTTCTTGTGCCCCCTCCCACCAACCCGGCTATGCCCAATCCTCCACATCCGACTTCCTCCCTCTCCCTACCCCACCAGCTCGCGTCCATCAACGTCACCTGGCTGTATGGATTCGACCCCTACAGCACAGCGTGACGCGGCACACCTTCCTTCTAGTTCTTGTGCCCCCTCCCACCAACCCGGCTATGCCCAATCCTCCACATCCGACTTCCTCCCTCTCCCTACCCCACCAGCTCGCGTCTATCAACGTCACCTGGCTGGATGGATTCGACCCCTACAGCACAGCGTGACGCGGCACACCTTCCTTCTAGTTCTTGTGCCCCCTCCCACCAACCCGGCTATGCCCAATCCTCCACATCCGACTTCCTCCCTCTCCCTACCCCACCAGCTCGCGTCTATCAACGTCACCTGGCTGGATGGATTCGACCCCTACAGCACAGCGTGACGCGGCACACCTTCCTTCTAGTTCTTGTGCCCCCTCCCACCAACCCGGCTATGCCCAATCCTCCACATCCGACTTCCTCCCTCTCCCTACCCCACCAGCTCGCGTCTATCAACGTCACCTGGCTGTATGGATTCGACCCCTACAGCACAGCGTGACGCGGCACACCTTCCTTCCAGTTCTTGTGCCCCCTCCCACCAACCCGGCTATGCCCAATCCTCCACATCCGACTTCCTCCCTCTCCCTACCCCACCAGCTCGCGTCTATCAACGTCACCTGGCTGGAAGGATTCGACCCCTACAGCACAGCGTGACGCGGCACACCTTCCTTCTAGTTCTTGTGCCCCCTCCCACCAACCCGGCTATGCCCAATCCTCCACATCCGACTTCCTCCCTCTCCCTACCCCACCAGCTCGCGTCTATCAACGTCACCTGGCTGTATGGATTCGACCCCTACAGCACAGCGTGACGCGGCACACCTTCCTTCTAGTTCTTGTGCCCCCTCCCACCAACCCGGCTATGCCCAATCCTCCACATCCGACTTCCTCCCTTTCCCTACCCCACCAGCTCGCGTCTATCAACGTCACCTGGCTGTATGGATTCGACCCCTACAGCACAGCGTGACGCGGCACACCTTCCTTCTAGTTCTTGTGCCCCCTCCCACCAACCCGGCTATGCCCAATCCTCCACATCCGACTTCCTCCCTCTCCCTACCCCACCAGCTCGCGTCTATCAACGTCACCTGGCTGTATGGATTCGACCCCTACAGCACAGCGTCACAGAGTGCCACACACTCTCGTCTATGCCCACACCTCCCACCCTCCCTCCCTCCCTCCTTCCCCCTTCAATCAGCTCGCGACCATCAACGTGACCCAGCAGTACGGATTCGACCCCTACAGCGTGACGCAGCAGCAGGCAGCAGCACTGGAGGCAGCAATGGAGGTGACGGACCGGGAATTGAGCACCGCCAACCAGATCATTCAGATCAACGAATCACTCATTCAGTCGTGAGTGCAATCAATCAGATCACCAAATCAATCGTTCTGTCGTGAGTGCGCCACTTACCTCGTCTCGAGGTGACTTTTGAGTCGACTCAAAAGTCAAATCAATCGTTCTGTCGTGAGTGTGCCACTTACCTCGTCTCAAAATCAGCACTGGAGGCAGCAGAATGGTGACGGACCAGGAATTGAGCACTACCAACTGGATCATTCAGATCATCGAATCCCTCGTTCAGTCATGAGTATGCCACATAGCGGAATCCACTTATGTAACCTTTACGACAGCCATTGATGCCCATCACAAATCAAGCATAAATATTACCAAGTTTGTTGCTTCTAATACCCAGCATATGCATTTCAACACCAGTCAGCCTTTTCGTCTCCTCCCTTACAAGATTCTCTCCTTGGCGCCTGTCCAATTTTATTCCCGACCAGTTCAATGCCTCACCGACCCTTCCCACTGTTCCTTCCTTTCGTTTCCCTTACGAGCTGCAGGTATGCCTGCCTGTCCCCCACTCCCTGTACGTATCAAGGATGACTTCTGGTCCTCGTCACTCAACTGGCTGGGTCACGACTTTGACCGCGAGTTCTTCTATCACGCCACCTTCTGCAAGCTCTGCTCCTCACGACCTTACCCAATCCATTCCCAATCGATTGAAGAAGTGTTTTGAGACGTCTCAAAACACTTCTGCAAGCTCTGCTCCTCACGGCCTGACCCAATCCATTCCCAATCTGTGTGGTTTCACTGCTTTCTTCCTCTGTGCCTTTCTGTCCACACCACACCACACCACACTACACCACACTACACACACCAGGGACGATTTCTGGTCCTCATCGCTCAACTGGCTGGGTCACGATTTTGATCGCGAGTTCTTCTATCGCGCCACCTTCTCCTCTGCTGGGGGGATTGGTGCTTTACCTGCCACCGAGGTGGTCTACTTTCTCACCTTCCTCGCCCAGGTAAGGAAGCTTCCTCTCTTATCTTTTCCCCACGTGGCTCGGTGGGTCACGATTTTGACCAGGTCACGACCTCTCTTATCTATCGCGCCACTTTCTCCTCTGCTGGGGTCATCGGGGCACTGCCCGCAACCGAGGTGGTTTACTTCCTCACCCTCCTCGCCCAGGTGAGAAAACCTCCTCTCTCCTCCTCATCCCTGCGTTGGCCCGGTGCGCTGTTAGCCCTCCATGGTCACGACTTTGATCGCGAGTTCTTCTATCGCGCCACCTTCTCCTCTGCTGGGGGGATTGGTGCACTGCCCACCACCGAGGTGGCGCCGGTGAAGAGGATGCCTGCTCACCGAGGTGGTTTACTTCCTCACCCTCCTCGCCCAGGTGAGAACAACTCCTCTCCTTCTCAACCTGCTGTCACGGTGTGGTGTATCCCGGGTATAGTTGGCCTGTAGTCTCGATTTTGACCGCGAGTTCTTCTGTCGTGCAACCTTCTCCTCTGCTGGAGGCATTGGCGCTCTCAAGGCTACAGAGGTGGATTACTTCCTCACCTTCCTCGCCCATGTGCTGTGACGTGAGGAAGCTTCTTTGTCCGTCCATCCACTGCTGAGCAGTTTCCTTGGGCGCCATTTTCCTTTTGAGGCGTCTCAAAAGCCATTTTCCTTGGGCGCCACACTTGACTTGCTGCCGAAACTTCTTCGTATGAGTTTCTTCTCTGGTCTCTTTGTTCAAAGCACCTCAAAGTACCTTAACACCTATATGCTTTTTGGACGTTGTTTTTGCTGCCTGAAGTTTGCTGGCCTTTTTGCCTTTCTGCCTTTGCCTGCCTCTGCATCTCTCTCTCTGCCAAACCTAACGCCATCCATGTGCTCGTCCTCTGTTTTTTCCCCTCCTCTCTCTTTCCATCCTCCCAACACCCAAATGCATCCAGGCTGTTCCAACACTGCAAGGCCTGTTTCCCGGCAACCCAACAGCACCAAATCCCTTGTCAGGATCACCCCTGACGATCCCTCTCAACACCACTGCATCAACCAACACCACCGCATCAACCAACACCACCGCATCAACCAACACCACTGCATCAACCAACACCACCGCATCAACCAACACCACAACACCAACCAACACCACCACACCGTTCAACCCCACCACACCAACCAACGCCACCACACCAGCCAACGCCACCACACCAACCAGCACCAACCAGACTTCTCCCGAGCCTCCCAGCCTCTCTTCGCTGCCTCTCTTCCGCCGCTTCCCCCCATTCGTCCCCCTGGAAGGTCCCCTGTGCTTCCGCCTGCGCCTCACCCCTCCCCCGGTCGACTCCTTCTGGTCCGTCACAGTCTACAACAGCACCTCGCTGAATCTATTGGAGGGAGTGAGCAAGTACGGTGTGGGTGATAGAACTCCAGGTCTGCTGGTGAGTCTCTTCCATTTCTCCTCCTGCTGGTGGCCTGCTGGTAAGTACCTCAACTCCTTCTGGTCCGACACAGTCTACAAGAGCACATCATTGAATTGACTAGGAGGAGTGACTAAATACGGCGTGGGTGACAGGACAGGACTCCTGGCCTGCTGGTGAGTCTCCTGCTTCCTTTCACCTCATCCCGCCCCCGGCCGTCCCCCTCTGGCCTGTCACAGGCTCCCCTGCATTCTAGTCCTGCTACTGCTTTCAACCCACTTCTCCCCCCCTCACCCACTGCCCGTTGTCGCCATCATTGGAGTACAATCCTGATGGCACTCTCACCATCTACGTTATGCTTTCACCCTGACTCAACCCGTCCCCCCCCTCACTACAGTACAATCCTGACGGCACTCTCACCATCTACATTATGCTTTCACCCTGACTCAACCCGTCCCCCCCCCTCACTACAGTACAATCCTGACGGCACTCTCACCATCTACGTTATGCTTTCACCCTGACTCAACCCGTCCCCCCCCCTCACTACAGTACAATCCTGACGGCACTCTCACCATCTACGTTATGCTTTCACCCTGACTCAACCCGTCCCCCCCCCTCACTACAGTACAATCCTGACGGCACTCTCACCATCTACGTTATGCTTTCACCCTGACTCAACCCGTCCCCCTTCTCATGCCAGTACAATCCTGACGGCACGCTCACCATCTACATTCAACCCACTTCGCCCGGCCGGTCGCTCGAAGTCAACTGGATCCCTACTGTTAACTCGGTACTGTCACCCTCGCGCCCCGTGTCCGCTTGAGCCTGCCTCTCTTTCTCTTCCTTCTTTAATATCTTCCCCTTATGCTCCCGCTCCCTCCCATTCATTCCTCCATTACATTCCCCACTCCTTTCCACCCCTTTGCTTGCACCATCTTGATTCCTGCTCCCTGCTCGTTCTGAGGCCTCTCAGAAATTCCTCTTGCCCTCTTGCTCCTCCTTTGTTTCCTGCCGTCCCTTCTCTCTCTGTTTTCGTTCTCCCTTTACCTTTCCCTTCTCCATAACCATTTTCCCTTTCCATTTCAATTTCCCTTTCCTTTTTCCCTTCCCTGTCCCTTTTCCATTCCCTTCCCCTTTTCCCTTCCCTTTCCCCTTTCCCCTTTCCCTTCCCTTTCCCCCTTCCCTTCCCTTCCCCTTCCCCTTCTCCCTTCCCCGTTCTCCCATAGACAAGGAGCGCAGTGGTGCTGCGAGCGTATGGCCCCTCACAGCTCATTCTCAACGGCACATACCGCCCGCAGCCAGTGCAGCTCTTTCCTCCCGGCCCCACGTGCCAAGGGGAGCAGCAACAAGGCAGCGTTACTCTCACCGCCCCTGCAGGGCGACAGGAGCGCAATCTCACTCTCATAAACCCTGTTTCCTAGTGCACTAAGTGTTGATAGGACATAAAGACGATGCCATGATTCTTTTGATGCTTTAAATACGATCCCTGGCATGAGTGCAGCAGAGGTTATTACGGTACTTCCGTGTGTGGTTGTGCTGGGGTGGAGTGGTGGTGGTGAGGGCGTATGGCCCCTCACACCTCATACTCCATGGCACATGTACCATATCGCCCGCAGCCACTACACCTCTTCCCTCCACCAAGGGGAGCAACTGGGCAGTATCACCCTCATGGCTCGACAAGTGCAGTTTGACAGTCTCACTGTCACCCACCCATATGATTCTTAGTGCATGGGGTCTCAAAAACCCTTTTACCATAAGCTGTCAAACTCACTAAGCTTTCTCCCCGACCGTGTTTGTTCAGTGCGTCCCCACATTGAAGTACATTACTTGCTTCGTGATGCAGCGATGAACTCTTTTATTGAATGGTTCAGTGTGTATTGTACAGCGTTGCAGCAGCCAGCACTGCATGGTCTCTCTGCTCCTTGAGGCTGTCAGAATCTCACTCCCAGCCTTGTTTAAACTCCTCCTTGGTTTCAAATCAAGCTATGAAAGCTCACGGCATCGTTAAGCAGCGGCAGCAGTAGCAGCCCAGGCAGCACTGTGAGGCTGAGTCATCCTATTCTTCCTTGCTGTAATTCGATTGAGACGCATTATCATCAGCATCAGCATCAGTGGTGGCAGCAGCAGCAGCAGCAGGAGCCAGGCTCGCTTTGTAAGTGACGTAGATGGTCCAGAAGAAAGCTGCAGTGTTGCTGGTTAGTACCTGCACATGCAAAAACAACCAGAACCGGGGATAAATGCATAGGTGTACAAGGCATGGGATGGCATGGCATGTGTGATGTTTACGATACCATATACTCCTATCTATCCTCGACTGGTAATCAACAATCTTGAGGAGTTATGGTCCATATGCATAAAAGTGTGTTGGAAGACACTTTTGTGCAGTTCAGGCCAGCACTCGCGTTGCCTGCCTCATCAGGTGTTGCCTGTTGCACGTTGCTGCCTCCATCTTCATGTGGCAACATGCATCCATCTTATACACCTCGTTCCAGCTAAAATGCGCTTTGAGAAATCTCTCCTCCTAAAATTAGTACCACACATGTGCCTCACAAGCTCAGTCCACCTGACCCTGAGACACAAAGCCAAGTCATACGCGCTCTGATCAGCAGTATCTTTCCAGTGAAATCAACTATCCATCTGTAGTCGTCTCACAAGAATGCGAGGAACTGTTTGTTTCTGGTTCCTTGTTTCGGGTATACAACGTGACTCTCACCGACTCAAAGCCTCACGGGTTAGAACACATCATCCCCGAAGCTTCAAGCTTCAGGTCTAAAGACTGAGTCTCACCCACCTGCAGTCTCACGGGGACGTATCGGAACGTGATGAAGTCACAGACAGGCCAGTAGCAGGCGCCGCTGATGAGCGTTGGTAGCAGGTCTCGTCGCAAGCGAGCAATTATTTGCTCCTTGTTTTCCCCTGTAACACAAGGCATGGACGAAAGTGGAAGAGCATTTTAATTACGTATGATGAAGTCACAGACATGAGCTGAGTAGCAGGTCTTGTCGCAAGCGAGCGATGATTTGCTCCTTGTTCTCACCTGCACAACAGGCCATAGGAGAAAGTGGAAGAACATGAACAGATGTATGAGGACGTCTCAGATAGGCCAGTAGCAGGCACAGCTGATGAGCGTTGGTAGCAGGTCTTGCCACAAACGAGCAATGATCTGCTCCCTGTTCTCGCCTACAACAGACAGCTGTCCCAGTTTTGAGACAACCTTACAAACAGCCGACGACCTTACAAACAGACGCTCGTTCCCTCACCTTGAAGAACAGCGTTGATTGAGAAGAACAAGGAGTTGAATACAGGCCGTCCGTACAGCAGCTGCCTCATTTTTTGGGACGACCTTAGGAACAACCGCTCGTTACCTCACCTTGAAGAGCAGCGTTAACTGAAAAGAACACGGAGTTGAAGAGAGGGCTGTACAGCAGCTGTCCCAGGGTGATCTTGAGCAGCACACGAGGCACGTCCGTCCCTGGGATGAACCTGGCGATTCAGACACAGTTCTTCAATTCCTCACCTTGCAGAGCAGCGTTGATTGAGAAGAACACGGAGTTGAAAACAGGGCTGTACAGCAGCTGCCCGAGGGTGATCTTGAGCAGCACGCGAGGCACGTCCGTCCCTGGGATGAACCTGGCGAGGCGCGTGAACCACAGATGCAGCGCGCCCCCCCCATCCCCTCCCCCCCCCCCCCCCCCCCCCCCTCCGTCCCCGTAACATGCAGGTGCAGTGCGAACAGCAGGATTGTGCAGTGCAAAGAGAATCGGTGTAGATCGATCTTAGAAGCACCGAGTGACTTTTTCTCACCTTGCAGAGCAGCGTTGATTGAGAAGAAAACGGAGTTGAAGACAGGGCTGTACAGCAGCTGCCCGAGGGTGATCTTGAGCAGCACGCGAGGCACGTCCGTCCCTGGGATGAACCTGGCGAGGCGCGTGAACCACAGATGCAGCGTCGGACCGGATAGCAAGAGGCCCGCGCCTGCCATGCGCGCTGTACGGAACGCGTCCCACTGCATCTGCTGACGTGGCGGTTGGTCTGCGTTGTCGTCGAGTGGTGACGTGGCAGGTGGGTCAAGGATGGAGTGGGACAGCTTCTGCAGGGATGAAAACGGAAGAGAAAGGAGGAGATAGGAGGCTAAGGGCGTGGAAAGGATGGGAAACAACGGGAAGCTGACCAATGATAGCCAAAAACCTGGTTCCGTTCGATAATATGACCCGCGATTATGCTGCCCATAAATGATTGATAGTCACCCTAGTAAATTGTGAACAGGAAACGAAACGAGGGGAGAGTCGAAAGGGAAGGGAGGTGGTAAGAAAAAAACGGACATACGTGCCTGCGATGTGACGTCAGCAGCGCCGAAAATGATCGCTGCGGTGATGCTCTTGGTGATGACGGGCCGCGAGTCGAGGCATTTCAGGTACCACTGAACGAACCCGTTCACCCGCGAATGACTCTCCGATCCATTCAGCCGTTCCGTGATCTGCTGTACGCCGATCTGCGGCTGCGACGCGGATTTACTACTCGAGTTGATCCGTCTTATAAACACGTTCCCGTTTTGTAACGACAAGCCTGATTGTGGCGATGGCAACGGAAGTCTGCACCGTTGATTGCTGGCGGACGAGTGGATCTGTTTCACGCTCGTTAATCGTCGCACCATGGAACCTGCTTGGACTGACTGAAAGATCCGTTCTCTACAGCTGCGAAACGCCATTGATTAAATTGTTCTGTCGAGAAAAGAAGTTATCCGCGGCTAACGGTCACTAGGTCGACTCGACCACAGCGTGTTGAAGTTGGGTCGCAGACTCGTAAAACCTCGCAACAATAGCAACGCGTTTAGAAATCCACAAGCAAGATCAGAACGTGTTCTCTCATTAGACCAGCCTACTATTCACAGCAACTATTCACAGAAATCAAATGGTATGTGGCACGAGCACCAAAGCTCGAAATAAGGTAAGCTCCTGAAGCACACTTCGACTGGGAAGAAATGCAGCAAACCTCGAGAGAGGATTACAGTACAGACAAATAGTCGAGACGCGAGTTCACGACGAACTGACACCAGTAGTTTTTCCGTCCGTCGACCCGAGCCCTTTCGTCAGTGGCAAACGGCGGAGATTGTGCCACATCAGCTCTCAGACTCGACCATCCGTCCGCTTTCGAGACTGTCAAGGTCGTACCACACTGAACCTTACTGCAATGCAGCGTGACCGACCATCTGGTGCCTTGTCCAACCACGATGAAGGGGATGCTGCTCCTCACCAAGAGATTTCGCTAGGCATTGAGCAGACTGGTTGCCACCGCGGTAAAATCTCGGTAATACCTTGTTCAGTAAAAGCTCCAAGACAACCAATTAAACGAATTTCACATCCTGTTCTTGAAGTGTAGGTTGAAGGAGACTTCACACCTGTTCTTGAAGTGTAGGTTGAAGGAGACTTCACACTTATACAAAGCCACTACAGCTGCTCCCAAGTCACATAAATTCGGTCATTCACCTTGAGAGTCTCAGATTTTGAAAGCGAACCGGGGTTATCCTTCCGCTTCAAAGAACTCATCTTCCTCCTCATCCTCGGCAACACCCCCCTCACTGCTTCCCACCCCACTGGCACCGCCCCCTGCCCCTCCAGATGAGTTTACCCCATCCTGACGCCCTTCACTCACCCCTTCACCACCTCCCAGCACATTCCCCTTCTTCTCTTTTCCAGCAACAGCAGCTGCAGCCATGGCAAACCCGACATTTTCGATGGTATATTGCCCAATTGTGCCTTGGGCAGTTAAAGCAGCAGCGTTTGTTGACACGGTCACTTGCTGGTCCAGCCCGACATAGCAGTCAGAGATGAGATGGACTGACAGCTGGAGGGTGGAGGAGGGAGAGAGGTGCAAGGGCAGAATTTCAACTTGTAATTTGTGACAATCAGAACAATTTCCTGAAAAGGTATGTTGACAGTAACTTGCATACTAGAACAAGAGAGATAGAAAGTAACCTATATCAAAGTTGCCATTAGATTGTACACGCTTGATTTTACACGAGCACGACTGACAAGTCGGAGCATGAAAAAAAAATAGTGAATTAAGACACGCAGTGCGTAAACCTGAAACAGGTTAAGACACACGTACCTGCTTCACTGATGACTGCAGCTCGGGCACATGCAGGCGAGTGGTGAGCTGGTGCGTGACGGAGACCAATAATGAGTTGAAACACGCAATGCATATACATGAAACTGAATAGGACACACGTACCTGCTTCACTGATGACTGCAGCTCGGGCACATGCAGGCGAGTGGTGACTCGGTGTGTGACGGAGACCAATAATGAGTTGAAACACACAATGCATATACATGAAACTGAATAGGACACACGTACCTGCTTCACTGACAACTGCAGCTTGGGCACATGCAGGCGAGCGGTGAGTCGGTGTGTGACGGAGACCAATAATGAGTTGAAACACACAATGCATATACAAGAAACTGAATAGGACACACGTACCTGCTTCACTGACAACTGCAGCTCGGGCACATGCAGGCGAGTGGTGAGTCGGTGCGTGAAGGAGACACGCTTGAGGGCGAGCAGGACGGGGGAGTCAGCTGCTGCTACCACCACCCACCACCCCTCCTCCTTCACCTGTGGAGTGATGATTATGGCATGAGTAATGGCAGGGAGGAGATTGATGTAATGTGGAAAGCAAGGGCAGGACTCTACTGCTGCTACCACCACCCTCCTCCTTCACCCGGAGAATGATAGTGTGCTACCCCCAGAGGCATGGCAGTGTGGAGAGTAGAGTTTTGAGGCGCCTCAAAACCGGAGAATGATAAATACCCCCAGAGGCATGGCAGTGTGGAGAGTAGAGTTTTGAAGCGCCTCAAAACCGGAGAATGATAAATACCCCCAGAGGCATGGCAGTGTGGAGAGTAGAGTGTATGCACAACGGACAGAGAATGCTTGTTTGCTGGTTTGTATCTTCATGTTCTTACATGTATGCAGAAACAACCTTTTAGATGGCAGGCTCAAGGTGTGTGAGTGAGTAATCAAGTGATGGTAGAGTGAGAGGATGTGTGCGCAGGTGATGGTAGAGTGAGAGGATGTGTGCGCAGGTGATGGTAGAGTGAGAGGATGTGTGCGCAGGTGATGGTAGAGTGAGAGGATGTGTGCGCAGGTGATGGTAGAGTGAGAGGATGTGTGCGCAGGTGATGGTGGAGTTAGCAAGTGAGTAGGGAGGTGATGGTAGAAGAAGAACGAGTGTGCATTCAAGGAATGTGCAAAGGTAAATTGAGCACTTATTCCAAAAAAGGTGAGTGCGCGCGCCAGGAATGCGCGTCATGACTTTTGAGTTGACTCAAAAGTCACCTCAAAAAAGGTGAGTGCGCGCGCCTGGAATGCGCGCATGACTTTTGAGTTGACTCAAAAGTCACCTCAAAAAAGGTGAGTGCGCATGCCAGGAATGCGCGTCATGACTTTTGAGTTGACTCAAAAGTCACCTCAAAAAAGGTGAGTGCGCGTGCCAGGAATGCGCGTCATGACTTTTGAGTTGACTCAAAAGTCACCTCAAAAAAGGTGAGTGCGCGTGCCAGGAATGCGCGTCATGACTTTTGAGTTGACTCAAAAGTCACCTCAAAAAAGGTGAGTGCGCGTGCCAGGAATGCGCGTCATGACTTTTGAGTTGACTCAAAAGTCATATAAAAAAAGGTGAGTGCGCGCGCCAGGAATGCGCGTCATATCTGCCTGAACACACCTTGGGGAAGAAAGGCGTGTAGGCACGCAGAGAGTGCGGCTGGTGTGGTCGAGAGCGACGAAGCGACACCTCCACCACCACTGCTGTTGTTCCTGCTGCTGGACTAGAAGGAGAGGCGGACTTGGGTTGTGATGCAGGCGTCTTCTCCCCATCAGCTGTGCCGGAAGGTAGTACACGCACTGACATGGACACTCGAGGCAGCATTCCCAGAGCCTGGGAGACACGAGGGGAGAGAGGGGAGGCAGGAGCAGGGCTTTTGGGACTTCTCAAATGGAGGAAGGAATTGCGTGACATCCCCATCAGCTGTGGCAGACGGAAGGACTTGCACTGACATGGACACTCGAGGCAGCATTCCCAGAGCCTGGGAGACACGAGGGGAGAGAGGGTGGGAGAGAAAAGGGAGGAGGAAAGAGAACTCGTTAGCACACCCGAGTTTCAGGTATGCTCAGGTGGTGCTGACGATGCAAGCAGCCAGGGCATTTAAGCTGGGCATCCACCCCTGACGGCCTTTAATCGAATTCCAGGCATTGCTGGATTGGACGATCCTGAACAAGTTCAAACGCAAGCACACCTGAAGGAAGTCGGCACGAGCAGCAGGCGAGAGGTGGGAGGAGAGGAGCTGGCGGAGGTGATGTGACCAGGCGAGTATGAGCGAACGTGAGCATGGGGGGCGAGTACTCACAAGTCAAGCTGAAGCATACCTGAAGGAAGTCAGCGCGAGCTGAAGGGGAGAGGTGGGAGGAGAGGAGCTGGCGGAGGTGATGTGGCGAGGCGGACAGCAGCGCGGATAGCGATGCCAGCTTGGCAGCTGAGAGTGCATCCTCCAACGAGGGCGTGACATGTGGCAGCATGGCTATGGGCGAGCCAAGGTCGCACCAGACAGCCTGCGGGAGGGAGGAAAGGGGAGGCCAGAGGGAGAGAGGGGAGGTAAGAGGAGGTGCATTTGGGTGATGCGCATGGTGAGCACAGACAGCAGAGTGGGTTGACTTTTGAGTTGACTCAAACGCCACCTGGACTACCAGTTGCATCCCACCCGCCAAGACTTATCATCAGAATGATTATCTGCGACTTATATTCAGGTGTGTCAAGACTTATATTCAGGTGTGTCAAGACTTATATTCAGGTGTGTCAAGACTTATATTCAGGGCAGAGCAGAGCAGAGCAGAGCAGAGCAGAGCAGAGCAGAGCAGAGCAGAGCAGAGCAGAGCAGAGCAGAGCAGAGAAGAGAAGAGAAGAGAAGAGAAGAGAAGAGCAGAGCAGAGCAGAGAAGAGCAGAGAAGAGCAGAGAAGAGCAGAGCAGAGCAGAGCAGAGCAGAGCAGAGCAGAGAAGAGCAGAGCAGAGCAGAGCAGAGAAGAGCAGAGAAGAGCAGAGCAGAGCAGAGCAGAGCAGAGCAGAGCAGAGAAGAGCAGAGAAGAGCAGAGCAGAGCAGAGCAGAGCAGAGCAGAGCAGAGCAGAGCAGAGCAGAGCAGAGCAGAGCAGAGCAGAGCAGAGCAGAGCAGAGCAGAGCAGAGCAGAGAAGAGCAGAGCAGAGCAGAGCAGAGCAGAGCAGAGCAGAGCAGAGCAGAGCAGAGCAGAGCAGAGCAGAGCAGAGCAGAGCAGAGAAGAGCAGAGAAGAGCAGAGCAGAGCAGAGCAGAGCAGAGCAGAGCAGAGCAGAGCAGAGCAGAGCAGAGCAGAGCAGAGCAGAGCAGAGAAGAGCAGAGCAGAGCAGAGCAGAGCAGAGCAGAGCAGAGCAGAGCAGAGAAGAGCAGAGAAGAGCAGAGAAGAGAAGAGCAGAGAAGAGAAGAGCAGAGCAGAGCAGAGCAGAGAAGAGCAGAGAAGAGCAGAGCAGAGCAGAGCAGAGAAGAGCAGAGAAGAGCAGAGCAGAGCAGAGCAGAGCAGAGCAGAGCAGAGCAGAGCAGAGCAGAGCAGAGCAGAGCAGAGCAGAGCAGAGCAGAGCAGAGCAGAGCAGAGCAGAGCAGAGCAGAGCAGAGCAGAGCAGAGCAGAGAAGAGCAGGGCAGGGCAGAGCAGAGCAGAGAAGAGAAGAGCAGAGAAGAGCAGAGAAGAGAAGAGCAGAGAAGAGCAGAGAAGAGCAGAGCAGAGCAGAGCAGAGCAGAGCAGAGCAGAGCAGAGCAGAGCAGAGCAGAGCAGAGCAGAGCAGAGCAGAGCAGAGCAGAGCAGAGCAGAGCAGAGCAGAGCAGAGCAGAGCAGAGCAGAGCAGAGAAGAGCAGAGCAGAGCAGAGAAGAGCAGAGCAGAGCAGAGAAGAGCAGAGCAGAGCAGAGCAGAGCAGAGCAGAGAAGAGCAGAGCAGAGCAGAGAAGAGCAGAGCAGAGCAGAGCAGAGAAGAGCAGAGAAGAGCAGAGCAGAGCAGAGAAGAGCAGAGCAGAGCAGAGCAGAGCAGGCGGCATTGGCTTCTGAGTCATCTGGTCAATGCGCCTCACAAAAAACCACCTGGTCCACCATTCACATCATCATTAGAATCATAAACATCTGCACCGCATTCCACCCACCTGAATGACCATCTGAGTGAGGCGCATGGTGAGAAGGGCCAGCTGTAGCTGGCCGGCTGTAGCAGCCGTGTCAATCATTGCCTGCAGCACGTGCATAGTACTTATTGTCATTCAGACCCGCCTCCCACCCACCTGAATGACCATCTGAGTGAGGCGCATGGTGAGCAGGGCGGGCTGTAGCTGGCCGGCTGTAGCGGCGGTGTCAATCATGGCCTGCAGCACTCGCATGGCCGCTAGAGCCATAACCATCTGCACCGCGTCCCACCCACCTGAATGACCATCTGGGTGAGGCGCATGGTGAGCAGAGCGGGCTGTAGCTGGCCGGCTGTAGCGGCAGTGTCAATCATGGCCTGCAGCACTCGCATGGTCTGGTCCAGCACACTCTTGAGGTCCGTCTCGTAGTCACTCATTGGCATGGCCAGGCGGGAGAAGTGCGCCTGAGATGATGGGGGGTTGAGAGGGAGGAGTGAAAGGGAGGAAGCATCGGAAGGGAGACATGAATGGGAGGTGGCAACGGGGGGTGAAACGGCACACTCTTGAGGTCCATCTGATAGTCGCTCATTGGCATGGGCAGGCGGGAGAAGTGCGCCTGAGATGATAGGGCAGGGGAGCCAAGAGATGTGCAGTTGATGCGGTGAGGATCAAAAGACAAAACACAGTCACACAGCACTCTTGAGGTCCATCTGATAGTCGCTCATTGGCACGGGCAGGCGGGAGAAGTGCGCCTGAGAGAAGAGGAAGGGAAGGGAGAAAACAGGGAAATCTCAATCAACGAAGGGGAGTCAGGTCAAGAGTGATGTAGTCAAGAGTGGATACACTCTTGAGGTCCGTGTCGTAGTCACTCATTGGCATGGCCAGGTGGGCAAAATGCGCCTGAGATGGGAGGGAGGGAAGGGGGAGAGAGGAGCGCATAACCCAAGAGGGGGAGTTAACAGTGATGAGGACACACTCTTGAGCTCCGTCTCATAGTGTCACATTGGCATGGATGGCCATGCGGGAGAATTGTGCTTGAAGGGGGGTTGAGTTGAGAGGGATGGAGGAAAGAATACCAAACTCAATTAACGGAGTCAACAGTGAGAGGTGCGCCTGAGATGATGAAGGCACCAACGCTAGCTTCACCCAAAAGCTAGATAAGCCTGAAAGCTAGATGTACCTGCAGGGTAAATTCGCCTCAAGGCTGGTTTCAAGGTCTCACCCGGAGAAGCGTATTTTGAGTCGACTCAAAATTCACCCGGAGAAGCAGGGTGTATGAGTCGTCATAGGTGTGATGGCCTTAGGGATTGCTACAATACACATCGTACAGGCTAGCTGGATTCGTGGAGGCTAATTCAGATCAAAGGCTGAGCTCACCTGAGCGTTGAACTCACCTGCAGCAGGAGGTTGGTCTTGGTGTGTGGGTCGTCATAGGTGCGATGGTCCACCTTCCAGCGCACATGCTTCGCCAGCTCAGCATTCACAAATTCCTGTAAAGGATGAGAGGAGAGAGGAATGGGAAGCGCAAGGAGCAGAGAAATGGGTAGAGTTTGTAACGGGCAGCGAAACCAGGAAAGAAATAGTTGTGCGCTGCCCACACAGCAAGTCCCAAAGGGAACCACATCAGATAGCACGTCACTGCACTGAACCGCACATCACCCCTTTCAAATCATGAAGCTTTACTCACCTCATCATGTCTTACAGGCAGCTCGCCAAACTCTGCAGCCCTAACCAGCACATGAAGACTGTGACAATCTTCTTGGCACCTCAAAAACCGCACTGGACCGCACTGCACACCCATCCTCATGCCTTCCTCACCTCATTATGCCTGACTGGCAGCTCATCAAACTCTGCCGCCCCACACAGCACATGCAGCACTGTCTCAAGTGTAATTGCAGCAGCAGCGGTCGGCGAAGTGAGATTGGCGGTGAACAGTGCGGCGGTGGTGAAGTGCAGATAGTACTGTGAGGCAATCAGGCCGGGCGGCAGCGGATCCACACTGCCGTCCTCGTGCAGGGCGATGCAGCCGGCAGCATCCAGATCGGAGAGCGTGCGGCTGACGAGACTGCAGGTTGTCGGGACGGGTGGAAGTGAATGAATGGGGGATGAGGAAAAGAGGAAAATGGGTGGGGAATGAGTGGGGGATAAGTGGCAAAAGGACAAGGTAAGGGTAGGTGCTCCTGGTGTGGAGCAGCAGAGGATCCACTCTGCCGTCCTCATGCAGCGTGATGCAGCCGGCTGCATCCAGGTCGGAGAGAGTGCGACTGACGAGACTGCATAGGCAAGTTTCGAGAATGAAGGAAAGAAAGGGAGATTTGAGACGTGAGCATGTGCGGCTTATATGAAGCAGCAGAGGATCCACGATGCCATCCTTGTGGAGTGCGATGCAGCATCCAGGTCGGAGAGAGTGCGGCTGACGAGACTGCAGGGAAGAAAAGAGATGAGTGGGGAATGGGTGGGGGATGAACAGGGGATGGAGAAGGTAAAGAAGCAGCAGAGGATCCACAATGCTGTCCTTGTGGAGTGCGATGCATCCGGCTGCATCCAGGTCGGATATCGTGCTGCTGACAAGACTGCAGGGAAGAGAAGGGATGAGTGGGGGAAACGTGGGGAATGAACGGGGGATAAGTTGGAAATGAGTTGGGGATAAGTGGGGAATGGACTGACAGAGGATCCAGCCGGCAGCACTTTTTTTAGCCCAACCGCGCTCCAAACCAATGCTCCTTGTAGTTCTTGCTTCCCTCACCAAACCGGCCCAGCTTGAAGATAACATTAGGGGAGGTCATGAACTTGCGAGCCGTCAGCAGCAACATCATATCGTCCACACTCCGATTTGCAAGACTCCTAATCGTGTGACCATACATATATTTGTTGTCCGTATATGTCCAATTTGTGACGAATTCAGCGGAATTCATTGAATCGTGCTGGGCCACCCATTCGGCAACGCTCCAGCCAATTGATGTCCTTATTAAACCACTCATCCAATACGTTTCATCCTCAACCGTCCATTCTATGATGAAATCACCAAAATTGATTGCGTTTGTCGCCATCAACAGCTCGTCGCTCACACTATGTGTAGCACGACGATTTTTTTGCTTGAGTCACAAGCTGTTTGCTATCACACTCCTTCAATCACTATCCTAGCCTTTGCTTATTCTGAGAACATTTTTTGCTCGAATAGGCGCGGTTAACCCGGAAACAGCCCAGGACATTGCTCTTGCTGCTGCCACGTGCTTAAAAAATGCAACAAGGTACCTGTGGGAGGTACGGAGCTGGTTGGATTGCCCTGCAGTGAACCAGCTACTTTTCGATGCATTTACGAATGGACTGCTGCTGATGAAACTGAGCTGAGAGCAGCACTGGCTACGAGCGAGGAGCGAGGAGCTCACAGTGAGTGTTGCCGGTGATGCTCTCAGCTCAGTTTCATCAGCAGCAGTCCATTCGTAAATGCATCGAAAAGTAGCTGGTTCACTGCAGGGCAGTCCAACCAGCTCCGTACCTCCCACAGGTACCTTGTTGCATTTCCGAAGTACGTGGCAGCAGCAAAAAACAAACCTGAGCCGTTTCCGTGTTGACTGCGTCCATTCGAGCACAAAAGGTTCTCAGAGTTAAGAAGTGTAGGCTAGGATAGTGATTGGAAAAATGTGTCATAGCAAACAACTTGTGAGTGAAGGGAAATGGTCGCCGTGCTATACTTGGCGTGAGCGACGAGCTGCTGCCGTTGGTGGGAAGCGCGATCAACTCTGGTAATTTTATCACAGAGTGCAGACGAAGATGCTGTTAGTCGACCAGAACGTACACGAGTGAAGCTTACTCACTCCGAAAGGAATACATTCACGGACTCCGCACTGGTGTCAGAGAGGCCATAGAAGGAGGGGTTGCAGAGGAGGCGGCGGAAGAAGAAGGTCCAGGTGAGGTAGTCCATGGCGTCCTGTACGCTGGCTATGCTGCCCCCCGCCACCTCGGCGTTCAGATGGTCGTGCAGCACCAGGTGCAACGAGGACTCCACAGGGAACGGCTCGTACAGAAACTACAGTGTGGGAGGGGGGGAGTTGGGGGATAGAGAGGAGAGGGGAGGAGGGGAGGGAGGGAGGAAGGGAAGGGAGGAAGGGAGTTGAGGAAAATAATCTGAGGGGCTGAAGAGCAAGCGGTGGAAGGGAGTTGAGGTGAGGTGAGGTGCAGGGCAAGCAAGGGAGGAAAAAGAAGGACAAGGTGAGGTAGTCCATGGCATCCTGCACGCTGGCTATGCTGCCCCCCCGCCACCTCCGCGTTCAGATGGTCGTGCAGCACCAGGTGCAGCGAGGACTACACTGGGAATGGCTCACATAGGAACTGCATGATAGGTGAATGATCGGAAGGAGGAAGCAGGTTCAAGTGGGGTTTTGTACAAGGTCCGACGAGAATGGGTGCATTGAGTTCAGATGGTTCTGCAGCACGTGGTGCAACAGGGACTTCACTGGGAATGGCTCGTATAGGAACTGCCGTGGAGGGGTGATTTGGGTGGGGGACGGAGAGGGGAAGAGGCGAGAGAGGTAGGAATGGAGGGAGTGTTGAAAGCACCCTTGCATTGAATAATTTATTGCCTTCAACACCCCCTCCATTCTACCCTCGTATTGGACAAGGCTTCTTGAAGGAGGCTCTTTTTGGGCTCATGCACCCAATGTTCCCTCCCTCCCACCATACGTCCAGCACCCTTCCCCTCTTCCCCTCTCCCCCTTACCTCTGCTCCCTTCTCTCACCTTCTTGTAGAAGCTCTTCTTGGGTTCATGCACGAGAATAACCGCCTTGGCCTCGTTGTCGAATTGAGGCCGCCCCGCGCGCCCCATCATCTGCAGCACGTCTGTGATGGGCATCTCCACATACCGCTTCTGCTTCCCATCGAAATACTCCGTTCCCTTCACCACCACCAGGTGGGCTGGCAGGTTCACACCCCATGCTAGTGTGGACGTGCACACGAGCACCTGGAGGGGGAAAGAAAATGAGGAAGGAGACGAGGAAGAAAGCAGCAGCGGAAGCAAAAGGGAGGGGAATGCAAAGGGGCATGGGAGGGAAGGAGAGTTGAAGGATGAGGGGTTAGCAGCACAGCACATCCGTGATTGGCATCTCCACATACGGCTTTTGCAAGGAAGAGAGAGGGTTGGGGTGGGGGCAGGAAGGAAGTACAGCAAGGAAGGGGATGGATGCAGGAGAAGATGGGCTCGAGAAGAGGAGACTAAAGATGATGGAAGCCCATTGTTTTATGGCCAAAAGATGAGGATTTGAGAACGAGTGGTAAAGGAGGAGATTGGGAATTGCTTCACTGCTCGTTCTCAAATTCTCTTATCTTCTGGCCAAGAAACAATGGGCTTTAATTTCGTATTTAACCTCCTCTTCTCGAAATCATCTTCTCCCCGCATCAATCCCCTTCATCACTGCATCGCTTGCCCCTCCTCCAAACCTCTCTTCTTTTTCTTTCCCCCCTTCACTCTGAACCCCTCCTCACCCCTCCCAACCTCCGCACCCTTCCAACCTCCTCCCCTCTTCCGCCCTCTATCCCCTCCCCCTTACCCACATTTTTCGTGCGTTTCATCCTCTCTCTCTTGCAAACCACTAACACCACCACCCTTCTCCCCCACCGCTGATTTTGGCCATCTATTCTCCTCTTGAACTTTCCTTAACAACCTTGTTTTACCCTGACAACCCTCGACCTCGTTCCTTACACCACCTCTTTTCTCCTATTCGGCCCTTCGCTTTCCTCTTTCCTTACTCTCTCGCCATTCTCGCATCACCATCCCCACTCAATTCGCTACCCTCCGTTCCAAACATACTCATGACATGTATGATTACCACACTGTTAGCACCATCACACAACACTGGGGTGTATTTTGAGGCGCCACAAAATACACACTGTCAGCACCATCACACAACACTGGGTCTTCCTCTCAACAAAGAGCATCTCCACTCCACAAGCGACCTATCCCCCTGAGTGAGCCCAGCATGGTGCAGCCGATGCCAAACTGTGTGCTTCAGCTGCACATGGTTACCATGCGGTTACCGTACAGTTACGATGCAATGATCATGCAGTTACCTGAATCTTCCTCTCAGCAAAGAGGGTCTCCACTAGCGATCGATGCCCCTGAGTGAGCCCAGCATGGTGCAGCCCGATGCCAAACTGCAGTGTGTGCTTCAGCCCCACCTCACTCTCATGCCAGTGAAACACACATGGTTACCACATGGTAACCACACACACCTGAATCTTCCTCTCAGCAAAGAGCGTCTCCACTAGCGATCGATCCCCCTGGGTGAGGCCAGCGTGGTGCAGCCCGATGCCAAACTGCAGCGTGTGCTTCAGCTCTGCCGACGAGGCCATGGCCACGTGTGCATCCATCTCCTCCTCACTCGCATGCACAAACTGCCGCGGCCGCTCGTCCGCTGCTGCGTACTGGTTGGAGCAAGGGCAGGTAGGGTCAGGCAGGGAAGAAGACGCGGAGAAGAGGTTTAGAGAAACATTCCTCCTGTGCTCAACTGGAGAACCAGATGCAGCAGTGGTCCTGCAAGCATGATGCCATGGCTATGTGTGCCTCCATCTCCTCCTCACTCGCATGCACAAACTGCCGCGGCCGCTCGTCCGCTGCTGCGTACTGGTTGGGGCAGGCAAGTGTAGGATTACAGATGTACGGTGTCTTTAATATGTGGGAAAGGAAGGAGACCAATATGTGGAAGAAATACGGAACTTTCCTCTGCTCATCCAGAGAAATGCATGACACAGCAGAGCTGCTGCCCTAGCCAGACTGTATTTGTATCAATCTCAAGGAAACTCTCACCTGAATGAGATCGAGCGCCGTCAGCCGAGTCTGGCGCCTTGAGGAGACGAAGACGAGCACGGGCTTGACGGGCGAGTGGGTGAGAAACGCAGCATAGAGCGGCTTGTTCATGGCGTTCATATGATCACTTGAAATCAGACCACACCTGATCTATGAAGCCTTTCTTCCAATCACCTGAATAAGGTCAAGCGCAGTGAGGCGGGTCTGGCGCCTTGAGGAGACGAACACGAGCACGGGCTTCACAGGCGAGTGGGTGACAATGGCGGCGTAGAGCGGCTTGTTCATGGCGTTCATGCGCGGGCAGTAGAACTTCCCCGGATAGCCCTGGATGTGCACGTCTAGTGGGACAGGCCGCACGCTGGGCTTGAAGTTGAACAGACCCACTCGCTCTATGCCCAGCCAGTCCGCTAAGTCTCTGGGGGGAGGGAGGTGAGGGAATGAGGAAGATGGAAGAGAGGCGAGACGTGATTCAAGGGTTAGTACAGAAGTTCCAGGTGTGAACGTAGAGACGGCTGCCTCACATACGCATAGACAAGACAAGCACATGGACTGCATCAGGTGCCACAAAGAGAAGCATGTATCACGGATGGAGTGCCGCAAGCGCATGCTAGATTCTCACCAGCTCCTAACGGCCACCTGCTCCTAACGGCCACCAGCTCCTAACGGCCACCTGCTCCTAACGGCCACCTGCTCCTAACGGCCACCTGCTCCCTAGCGGGCATCTCACGAAACCCTGAAAACAAGCACCTCACCTGGACCCAGCAGGCACCTCACCTGGCGTTGGCGAGGACAGTGGAGAGGCCGAGGAAGCAGATGGCGAGGGCGGTGGAGAGGCATCTCACCTGCCCCCAGCAGGCGCTGCACCTGGCCCTAACGGGCACGGAGAGCACCTCACCTGGCATTGGCGAGAGCAGTGGAGAGGCCGAGGAAGCGGATGGGGCGGGAGGTGCGGGCCGAGATGTATCTCATCCTCGATACAATCACCTCCAGTACTGGCCCTCTGTCCTGCCCCAGCAGGTGAATCTCGTCCATCACCATCAACCCCACCTGCATGACATGGCAGTTGATGGAAGGGTGTAAATAGGGGTTTGAGATTCGAATGTTACGATAGCCCACCCCAACAGTCACCTCAGCGGATGAATCTCGTCCATCACCATCAACCCCACCTGCATGGGATTGCACAGGGAAATGAGATCAGCTTCAATACACAAGCACAAGCACACCACACAAAATTCCACGTCGAACATCTGCAGAACCCCATAAGTCCTGCCCTATGTCTCTCATCGTCCGCGCTTATGAGCGGTTGTGCCAGCTACGCGTGATGCCATCCCACTTCTCACCACAGGAAAGTGCACACACACGCACACCTCACCAAATTCAACGTCTGCCATCTGCAACACCCCGTATGTCCCCCTATGCCTCTCACCGTCTCCGCGTATGAGTGGTAGTGCCAGTTGCCTGTGATGCCATCCCAATTCTCTCAGCATGCATGTGGACACGTACGCGCCACACCCAAACTCCATTACCTACCCACATTTCCTCTCTGATTAACAGTCTCTCACCGTCTGCGCATATGAGCGGTTGTGCCAGCTGCGTGTGATGCCGTCCCACTTCTCTGGTGTCGCCACTATCACATCAGCTGCCACCAGCAGCTTCATGTCCGGGGTTAGATCTCCCGTCAGCTCCACCTGAAGAAATAGAAGATAGGAGAAGGGAGCATGGAGTGGAAGGGAGGGTAAGGGGGTGGGTGAGGCAATCACATCAGCCGCCACCAGCAGCTTCATGTCCGGGGTGAGATCGCCTGTTAACTCCACCTGGAGAGGAAGGGAAGAGAGGAATACAGTGAGGGTGGAGAGAAAAGATAGGAGGGGAGGGCAAAACGATGGGTGGGTGAGGCAACCACATCAGCCGCCACCAGCAGCTTCATGTCCGGAGTGGTTGGAATTCGGACATCAACTGTTAGAATTACATATTGTGTAGCATACTAAGCACATGTGACTGTACGCCAATTGTGGTGTACAGTTAGGTTGGGACTACACCCAACATTGGGTGTAGTCTTGCACTTTGGGGTGCCAATCCACCCAATTGTGGTGGAGCCCCCAAATGCAACCCTCTTGACTTTTTGGTACCTCACTTCCCACAATTGAGGTCACCTCAAGCCAAGTGAGCCTATGGTTGCCTCACTTCTACAAAGTGTGGGCAACCCAACCCACTTCACCTATGGTTGCCTCACTTCCCAAGTGAGGTCAACCCAACCTATGGTTAGGTTCATCCTTCCCCTCCAACCCTTTCTTCCAACTATGTATGCTAGGTTTCTCCTCTAATTCAATCACTTGTTCAATTTACAATCTTCACATCAACCACATCAGATCGCCTGTCAGCTCCACCTGGAGATAAACGGAAGATAGGAGGAAGGAGAGGATGGAAAACTGGGGAGGCCAAGGGGGTGGGTGACAGCAATGCTGTCGGCCCACACCAGCAGCTTCATGTAGGGAGTGGGATCTTCTGTCAGCTCCACTTGAAGAGAAGGAAAGCGAGAAATGTAGCATTATTTACCTAACAGATGGAAAAACGGTGGTTGGAAAAAAAAAAAAAAAAAAAAAAAAAAAAAAAACGAGCCGCCCTTTTTTGCCGTCAACCACCCGTCGACCTCCGAGCATCAAACTGGCATGGGAGGCCTAGGGATTGTCGACCCACCGTCGACCTGGCTGTGCGTTGAGACAAACCCAAGGGGTATATCTCAATGCAAATTCACATGCCAGCTCAATGCGTCAGCAAACGCCCTGGATCGTGTCCGAGATAGCCGGAGTACCGGCCCCGACCACGCAGACCGAGATCACTCCATGCATCACACAACGACGCCATACAGGTTGACCGAGAAAATTGGTCGCGCGGATAGGGCATGTCGGTGTTCACCACGCGGCAAACATCAACAGTAGAGAGTTCGCGCAGGAAAATGCCCGCAAAATAAAGGGAAAATCGGTGCCTATCAACAAGGAAATATCCTCCGGATATCAAGCATGCCACGCGTCACAAACGAACGGTGGCCTCCATTGAGCGGGAAACCGACATCGCTGGTACTAAGGAAATCATACCAATCTCGGGACCACGCCACCGGAAACACAGTCACGACAACGTGGCATGGCCCCAAGGTAAGCCGAGCAACGTCACCTTGGCCATGCATTGCACGTGGCACGTCTGACAATGTGCCATTGAATGAGGAGCCCATGCATGAAGACAAGTGCTGAGGGGTTTGTGTGGACCGTGGCAGGTGCGGAGCCGCGCGCATCCATTACCACTTCGTAGCCACCTGCCAGTCCCCATTCTGCCACTATGTGTCCCATGCTCACGTACCATGCTTGCGCCCTGACAATTAGCGTTTTCTCAGAAATCCGCTCCGCGCAATTCATGTACCTCGGACGCCGACTACACTGCCTCGTCGGCTTAGTTTGCATCCAGATACTCTCCACCCTCAACACATAGCGAAGTCGCAGCTAGAATGCTAACAACGCACCTAGTAGCAAAAACTCGACAAAGCTAACACACCGACTTACTTTGGTGCCGTCACTCCTAACGCCTGCATAGGTCGGCGTTACATGGCCAGGAGACAGCCTGGTGTGATGCAGCTGGAGACCAACCCACCCCAGGCTGACACAGTAGACTCCGACATTTCCGCACAATTGGCACAGGCTGAGATCGTCAGCCGGCCTTTTTCGTGTGCCAATTGCGCGGCGATGATTTTGCGGAATTGTTCGGAAGACCGCGTCTGCTTTCTCCGGCCACACCCGCCAACCACACCCCTTGTACAAGAAGCACCTCTTCTTCGCCTGCAACGACAAAGAACAAAAAAACCTGTCGTCGCGAGCCACTAACGAATTACGCGGCTGATGTGGAAAACCAACAAGGTGTTTATCAAGCGCAACGTGCACGCCGCCCGGGCCGGCGATGCACAGGAGCTGGCCGACGAAAGAACGCCTCGCGCCGAGATTGCAGAATTGGGTCACTAGCCAATTGACAAAATGACGCAGATTTACATCACGTCAATTCCACGCAAGGTGGTGACGAGGATGACCAGCTACTCGACTTCAAATACACATATATTTTTTTGTCGGAGCAGGCTGAATCCCAGCCCGGATCTCACCTGGACCTAGGGGTGAGCGTTCGCCCCTGCACGAACACAGCCGTTCGGTTCGGCGAACACTTTTAGCAAAAAAGGGTGTTCGGTATTCGCCTGTGAAGGTGTGTTCGGGCGAACCTCGAACATGTTCGTGTTCGACGCGGGGCAAATTGCAGCAGCGGCCCGAACACGAACGTGTTCGGGCGAACCTCGAACACGTTTGTCACGAACACTTCAAGCAAAAAAACAAACCTGTTCGGTTCGCCTCGAACGTGTTCGAGGCGAACCGAACAGGTGTTCGTTTATTTGCTCAGCCCTACCTGGACCCAAGAAAACCAGGTTGGGATTCAACGTGCTCCGACCCAAGAAATAGTCATCTTTGAAACCCGAGTAGCCAACCTTCCTTGTTACCACCCCGTGGGGAATAGACGTGATGTAACTCTGCGTCATCTTGTCTACTGCCCAGTGACCCAATTCTGCGATCGCGACGCGAGGCGTTCCTTCGTCAACCAGCTTCAGCGCACCGTCGGCCAAGGCGATGTGCACGTTGCGCTGGATGAACACCTTGTTGCTTCACCAAATTTGCTGTGTAAATCGTTGTGGCTCGCCGCCACCAGCTCTTTTTGTTCTTTGTCCTTGCGAGCGAAGATGAGGTGCTTCTTGAACCAGATGTATGGTTGACAGGTGTCCAAATATATGGTGGAATCTGGGAAATCTAGTCGAGGACGAAGAGCAGCAACATGAATGTCTCGCCGACGGAACACAACTCCACTTCCAAATGTTTTGCTGCATAATTGTGATGAAAACCGTTTTCGAATTCCGTGCGGAGATCACTATAACGACCGGCTGGTTGTTTGGGTTCATCAACGATCCGTTCGCCAGTCGGCACTGGAAGATGTCGGCGAGAATGATCTCGCAGATGCTGGCACCACGAAATAGAGCGTTGTGAGAGAGGAGAGTCATTACTTTCATGAGCAAGAACCTCCACAACGCCTGTGAATGACTGGTTCCCCGCAGTTTCCACACCATCGCCGCCCATTATGGCAGCGCCTTGGTCATGATTTTACATAATTGTTCGGAATTCTTGGTGTTGCCGATTGTACCGCGATACCGGTCGACGAACCCTCTGCACAAGAACGGTTAAAGGGGCTATTCGAGCGGCGCTAGCTTTAGAAATCTTGACAAAGTGAGGACGACGTTGTCGAACAATTTACTCGTTGTCCCTCTTGTTCTTCTTGGTGTGAACCATGACCCGCACTTCCGAGCGAATAACCAAGATGTCCCGCATGACATGAAGCTCCTCCTCTCAGTAAAGCGTCGTCTTTATTTTCGCCGCCACCTGGCAAGTCTTGATGCGGCCGAGGAGCATGTGCACCGTGAAAGCATTGATCGGCTGGGTGCGCAAGACCAGGTTACCCTCTTGGGTCGACGTCGCCTCAGCCAACACAAACCGTGACTCACCTACACTGAAGTTGTTTTCTCCTGCCCTTTTTTTTTTTTGCAAGCCTGACACTCCATAATCCAAGGGTTTTCGTATGCTGGAAAGCAACGTATCGCGTATGAAAGTATAGTTTGTACGCGAACCGTGCCCGATATGCATTATGCATACTCTCTAACATACTGGTTCACGACAGTTCGGCACTTGCTCAACCCTTTATCCAATCATCAAGTTTCCATCCTACAAAAATGGGGCTTGGGGATAGACAGACCACTCACCATGCACTTGCCAAGCTTTGGCATGAAGTTCTTGCCCCAGTCCTCCATCCTCTCTCGCACCAGGGCTTTAAGTGGTGCTATGTAAATCACCTGCAAGCACACGCACGAGAGATGGGCAAAAGGCGTGCGAGAAGGTCAACAAACCATCATTCCTTTTCAAAAGGATCTCTATCTCTCGATTCCTGTGACTAGCTAGCACAGCAAACGTGGCCGAGATGGTAGTATTACCTTGCCTCTCTCTCCCCAAGTCCCTCACCTTCATGCCTGGCTGTGTGCGGAACAGCTTGAGCATGTCAATTTTGAAAGAGATAAGATGGCCTTGCTGCTGCCCGTGAAAGTACCCAGGAAACTCACTCACCCATGCATACCTATCTCCCTATACTCGCAGATTCATATACCTTCATGCCTGGCTGCGTGTGGAACAGCCTGAGCATGGCGAGTTTGGCCGAGATGGTCTTGCCACTGCCGGTAGGAGCACTCTGTAGCACAATCACCCCAAACCCCCAAAGCCCACCATTCCATGTATATCTCCCGCCCTCTCAAACTCTGATTCTGCCTACCTTCATGCCTGGTTGCAAGCGGAACAGCCTGAGCATGGCAAGCTCAGCTGAGATGGTCTTGCCACTGCCGGCGGGGGCAAGCACCCAGCAGCTCACTCACCCATGTGTATCTCTCTGTACCCCTTCCTCTCCTACCTTCATGCCTGGCTGTGTGCGGAACAGCCTGAGCATGGCAAGCTCAGCCGAAATGGTTTTGCCACTGCCGGTGGGAGCACCGAGCAGCACGCTGTGGTCGGTGTGGTAGAGCGTGTGGAAGGCCTGAGTCTGAATGGGGTTGAAGTGCGAAAAGCCGTACAGCCCGATGGCTTCGGGGTCCCCCAGTGCAGTGATGGGCAGAGGACGCAGATTGAGCAGCTCTGTGTGCGGGGGGTGGCGCTGGGGAGAGGGGAGACGGCAGGGGGGGACAGCAGGGAGAGAAACAGAGAGGTGCAAATGATTGAATGGAGGCAGAATGACAGCAATACTGGAACGGATGGAAGTAACCTGAGGCAGCCAAAAACTTACAAGGGCAGGAAGCATGTCTACTCAGGCAGGCTACCCCGGGCAAGATGAAATTTACCTCAGGCAGGATAAGATGATGGAAGGAGATGGTATGGGTGGAGGAGGAGGAGAGCCAGTTGTCTGAGATGGCGCGCACGTAGTACTGTGGAGGTAGCGGCTCAAAGATGGGGATGGTGAAGGTGAGCGTGTCACCCCAGGCAGGACGAGACTTACTTGGGCAGGATGAAACTTTCATCGGGCAGGATGAAATTTACCTCGGGCAGGATGAGGTGGCGGAAGGAGATGGTATGGGTGGAGGAGGAGGAAAGCCAGTTGTCTGAGATGGCCTTCACGTAGTACTGTGGAGGTAGCGGCTCAAAGATGGGGATGGTGAAGGTGAGCGTGTGTGTGCCCTGCGCCATCATCTTCTTGGAGAGAATGAAGTACTCCGTGTGGTAGATGTGCTCGTTCTCACTGTCCTGCCAGGTGGAGAGCGGTGGAGAGTGGTGGAGTGGGGTGGTGAGGGTTGGAGAGGGGTGGAGAGGGGCTTAGAGAGTGGAGAACGGGATGGTGAAGGTGAGCGTGTTTGTGCCCTGCGCCATCATCTTCTTGGAGAGAACGAAGTACTCGGTGTGGTATATGTGCTCGTTCTCTTCTTGCTGTCCTGCAATGGTGCAGAGTGGTGGACAGAGGTGGAGAAGGGTGGCAAGGAGTGGAGATGGGGTTTGTGGAGGTGAGCGTGTGTGTGCCCTGCGCCATCATCTTCTTGGAAAGAATGAAATACTCTAAGTGGTATATGTGCTCGTTCTCGCTATCCTGCAACGGTTGAGAGCAGTGGAGAGGTGTGGTGTAGTGAAGTGGAGAGGGGTGGAGAGGGTTGAGGGGGGTTGAGAGGGGTTGAGATGGGGATGGTGAAGGTGAACGAGTGTGTGCCCTGCGCCATCATCTTCTTCGTGTGGAAAATGTGCTCGTTCTCGCTGTCCTGCCAAGGTGGAGAGCGGTGGAGAGGGGTGGTATGGGATGGAGAAGGGTGGAGGTGGGTGAAAATCAATCAGCAAGATGATCCGGCCAGACACACCCTGCACTCATCCAGCAGCACACCTCCACGATCCTTGCCAATCCAGCCCAACCGCACCCAATCACCTGCTGACCTCCACTCCACCCATACTCACCAATCTCTACCCATATTCACCCACCTTCACATATCAACACCTCCGCTCACCTCCACCCCTATCCACCCACCTCCACCCCTATCCACCCACCTCCACCCCTATCCGCCCAGATCCACCTCTCACCTCCACCCATATCCACCAGCGCTGGGAGTTGCCATGGAATCTGTCCTTCCACTGGAAGGTCGGTGTCACATAGAGCGTCACCTGACAGAGTTTACAGGGAAACGTGGGGGGGTGTGTGGGAGAGGCGTAGCGTGGGAGGGTGGTTCACGAGGTCAAAGATAGGGAGGTGGTGGATACCTATGGCTATGGAGGGGCGAGGAGCAGAGGGCAGACAGGAACGAGATCTGGGAACGAGAGTCTGACATGGTGCGAGGGCGTAAGTGTGTGGGGGTCAAACTCGCGCTTAAGAAAGGGAGGTGGTGGATGGATGTGGAGGGGCGAAAGAGAAAGTGAGAGAATGCAAGCAGTGGGAGGAGGACTGACCTGGAGCACAGTGCGGGTAATGGGGCTGATGTGTGCGTCGAGCTCGAGATAGGGGAACTGAGACACACTCTGGGATACCAGCTGAGGGATGGCGAAGGAGAGGAGGAAAAGGGAGAGAAGGAGAAGCGTATCAAACAGGGAGGAAAAGAGAAGGTTGAGAGAGTGTTGAGTTTTATCTTCTAGCTAAGCGACATACAGTGTAAGAGGAATTGTTACACTCCAAGAAGGGGAGATTCCATTGCTGTTTCAACAGAAATTTCTCCCATTTCACCACAGCGTAAGCTATTTTTGAGTCGACTCAAAAACAGCAGTGAGCGTAAGCTTCTGCTGAAACCAGGATCGGAAATGTAAGGCACAAGACAAAATGTATGCCCACCATTACACAAGGCAAAATGTATGCCCACCATTGCACAAGCACAACAGAAGACACGGAACAGGACTTAAACATAAGAACACAGAGTCTCGAACTGGCGAACAGGACAGAGTTGGTGACTTTTCGTAACAACAGGCCAATTCACCTTGGCAGCATAGGGCGAGCGGATGATGGCAGCAATCTCATTGTTGTCCATGTCACATCCAGGCCTCGATTCTCTAGATTGAATGGTACCTGACAGTCCTACCTTGGCGGCGGCGGCGACGGCGGCAGCAGCAGCAGCAGCAGCAACAACAACAACAGGCCAGGCCAGCAGGACAACCCACCTTGGCAGCGTAGGGCGAGCGGATGATGGCAGCGATCTCATTGTCGTCCATGTCACAAAGCCGGTCAAGATCCAACCCTCGGTCCTCCAGCTTGAACAGTACCTGGCGCGCACAGGCATGACACGGCACATGCATGCACATGGATGGATGGATTTAAGGTGTATCAGTCCAAGCATGTCACACAGCCGATCCAGATCCAGCCCTCGAACCCCCAGCTTGAACAGTACCAGCAGCAGAGCGAGGGGTGAACAGGCACGCGCATGGATGTAAGGTGTATTTTAAAGAGAGACAAGGAGGGGGAGAGGGGGGAGGGGGGTAAAGATTGGCTCAGAATGATGACGGAGAGATGTATTACTTCCTGAGAGATCACGGACTCAAACTGCCTTAGTGGGTGTTGGTGCGGCCATATGCGCTGGTCCACCGCCTTGGCCATCTCCAGCAGAGAGGCTGCCAGGGAGCACATCTGGCTGACCATGGAATCTGGACTGGATTACACAAAAAAACACCCACCTCCTGTGAAATAACGGACTCGAACTGCCTCAAGGGGTGTTGGTGCGGCCAGATGCGCTGATCCACCACCTTGGCCATCTCCAGCAGGGAGGCCGCCAGGGAGCACCATCATTTTCACCAAGGGGAGGCGGAGTACATACCTCCTGTGAAATAACGGATTCAAACTGCCTGAGAGGGTGTTGGTGGGGCCATATCCGCTGATCAACCGCCTTCGCCATCTCCAGCAGGGCTGCCGCCAGGGAGCACCATCCTCGTTTTAGAGCGATCTCAAAGAGCGCACGTGTGATGCGGCCCAGCGAGGCAGATACATAGGCAGTGTCGGCGATGAGCGAAAAGGAATCGAGGTAGCCGCGCGATAGGTAGACCTGGGGGAGGGGGTTGAGAGGGGGAATGAGGGGACAGGGAGAATCAGATGTCTAAAAGGGTTCATCAAAGGGTGCACGATGCGGCCGAGGGAGGCGGAGACATAGGCAGTGTCAGCGATGAGTGAGAACGAGTTGAGGTAGCCGCGCGATAGGTAGACCTGGGGGAGGGAGGGATGAGGGCATGAGGGGAAACCGGGCAGAGAGAGGAGCGGAGGGAATGAGGGGACAGAGGGCACACACGATGCGGGTGAGGGAGGTGGAGCAGAGACATAGGTCGTGTCAGCGATGAGGGAGAAGGAGTCGAGGTAGTCGCGAGACATGTACACCTGGGGAAGGGAGCGGAGGGAATGAGAGGACAGACAGAGAGCATTGAAATGTGGCTGAGGGAGGGGGGGGGGGGGACATAGGTACACTCAGACCTCTCAGACTCCTATGTATCGGTGATGAGTGAGAAGGAGCCAAGGAAGCTGCAGAATGAGTACACTCAGACCTGCCTAAATGATAATGTTCATGTTCCCAGCGGAACCCGATGTTGTCCTCCTCCCGCCCACCCGTCACGTCCAGAGGGCAGCATTTGCAAAGAATGATAGCATCGGCTGAGTCACAATCAGCTCTTTCTTACAGTAAAGCGACTCGCCTCCTTCTAGGCTCGCCTCCTTGTAGGCTCGCCTCCTACACTCGCCTGGATGAGAATGTTGATCTTTCCGATCTTGTCCTCTGGCCCGCCCTTCACGTCCAGAGGGCAGAACTTGGAGCGCAGAGTGAAGAGCTCAGGCATCTCCTCCTCCCGTACCACTATGTTCTCAAACTCGGATGACCGGGCTATGAGATCCACAATCTGGGATAGGGAGGAGAAGAGGGATACGGAGTGGAAAGAAAGTCGATTTTTGAGTCGACTAAAAAAAAGAGGGATACGGAGCGGAAAGAAAGCGAGAGAGATGCGATGAAACGAAGGGTGAAGAGCTCCGGCATCTCTTCGTCCCTCACCACTATGTTCTCAAACTTGGATGATTGTGCTATGAGATCAACAATCTGGGGTTGGTGGGAGTGAGTGACAGGGGAGAGAGGTAATGTGAGTTAGAGGACGTAGAAGTGACTCGCAACTCGCCTGTACTCAGTGCCGCACAGCTGCCCACTATGCCACTTGTCCCCCTACCCCCTCTCGGCGTCTACCCTCCTCCCCTCCCTTGCCCTCCCTCTCACCTCGCTCTCGCTCATGTGTCGCCGCAGCAGCTCGTTATAAGTTTCCACAGACGTGTATCGGATGTAGAAGTGACTAGCCACTCGCCCCAGCTCCGTCACATACAGCTGCCCACTGCGCTCGTCGAACCTCATCATCTTGGCTCGGTCCAGTGAACGAGCAGCCTCGGTGATCAAGGCCTGGCGCCGAGCCACCAGGCCCGGATCCATGGCTACCTGAAAGGATTTGGGGAAAGAGGATTGGGGAGATGGGTGGATGGCTCCCACATCCAAACAATGTGCCAACCCTATACCACAGACATTTTGCGTTGGCATATCGACCAACAGTCCCACATGCACTGTCCCTTCAACTGTTGGCGCTGAAATTAAATCACACTCATATCCTGCCATGTCATGCCGTACGCCAGCTGGTTGGCCTGCATGCGCACGAAGAGGTACGTATACCCCAGCCAGGAATGTGTGCCGTATTGCACAGTCACTTATTACTGAACTCACATCCTGCCATGTCATGCCGTACGCCAGCGGGCTAACCTGCATGCGCACGAAGAGGTACGTATACCCCAGCCAAGCCAATGAACAGACCCAAGCACGTGGCACGTCCCAGTTGAATTTGTCACAACTTAGGCTTAGAACTGATGCATTAGTAATGAGCTTGAAGCTCTTTAAGTACATCCAAGATGGGCAAGCAATGGATGGGGAAGGGAATCGTGGGCAATCCTTAGGGGTAGGGGGTAATCTCAAGGCAATCTCCAATTGGTGGGTTGGAGATTGCTTGGAGATTACATTTGGGTTTGGTTGGGATGTAGGTGTACACCCAACCAAACACAAAGTGCAAACTACACTACTCTAGGATATAGAAAGTATAAAGTACAAACTGTGAGATTGAGGGCTAACACTAACAAAATTGCACTCACATCTTGCCATGTCATGCCGTACGCTAGCGGGTTGGCCTGCATGCGCACGAACAGGTACGTGTACCCCAGCCAGGCCGACGCCTCCTTAACGTTGGTGACAGTCCCCAGCACCACCTCTGCGTTCAGATTGTCCTTCAGCATTGCCACGAACTGAAGGACAAATGGGGTGCCACAAACACGCACAAAAAGGGTTGGAGTGAGGGAACGGATAAAAATCACCCACTCTCCCCAGAACACACATGTCCCGCAAGCCCCTTGAAATCTGTTGCGTCTCGAGATGTGTTTGTTTAGATCGTCCCGACATGGCAACGCCTCACGATTTAGCCAGTACAGACTGAATTGGCGACTGAAACCCATGAGATGAGATTCGCCTGCACCTGCGGACTCACCTGAGGAATCACCTGAGACACAATGAGCAGTTGGCAAACCACCTGAGATTCACAAACACTTGAATTCTCACCTGGGACTCGATGGGCAGTTGGTGGGTCATGAGACGGAGATAGTGTGCGAGTTGGTTGTGGGCTGTGATGATGATGCCCTCCCCACTCGAGTCAAACTGCGGCCGCCCTGCTCGACCAAAAATCTGGAAGAACAAGAACAAGAACAAAAACAAAAACAAAAACAAAAAAAGAAACAGAAATAAAAACAAAAACGAAGACCTAGGTTGAACCTCTGTGTGACTGAGCAGAGCGGTGTACGAATGAGAAGTCAGCAATCACGATGTAAACCTGAGTCATGCCACGTTAATAAAGTGCGACACAACAGCCAGCTGCACTCGATGCAACAGCTGCACTACACACCATGCATAGCCCTGCATCCTTCCTTCTGCTGCACCATACAGCACCGCACTGCACATCGCATCATCTTTTCCCACTCACCTGCATCACATCCAGCATCCCCAGCTCCCTGAAGCCGCCAACTTTGGCGTCGTACAGCTGAGTGCCCTGTGGGAGGGGAGGAAAGGAAGCGGAGGACGAGGGGAGGAAAAAGAGGGGAAGACGAGGGAAGAAAGGAAGGAACTCCTTGAGGTTTAAGCAATAAGCTGTGGACGGGTCACTTTTGAGAGTAAAATAGTTTAGCAAGAGACTTGCGGCTTGCTGCGCACCGAAACCATCCATGCGTAGCTTTCTGAAGGGCTACCTGCCTATATATAGAGACGCACCTTGACAATGAAATTGTGAGCCATAAGGTTAGACTTGATACCTTTTTTTTCCGAAAGCCCCCCTATTGATCCCTTCAATGGGCTATTTATTAGCCGCCACTATTGAAAAACACACCTTGATAATGACAGTGTGAGCCAACAGGTTAGATTCGTACTTTTTTTTTCAGAGATAACCCTTTAGTCGGCTACTTCAGCTGCCACTATGAGTGACGCACCTTGATAATGACAGTGTGAGCCGGCAGGTTGACTCCCCAAGCCAACGTGGCTGTGCACACAAGCACCTGCGATGGGATGGGATAGGCATAAGGATGGGGAGGAGAGCAAGAGCGCGTTGAGTATACATCTCAATGGACGTGCAGCCGGGTGACAGAGAGCCATTGAGAGAACAACAGAGGAGGAGCAAGTGAGCGAGAGAGGATGAGAAGTGTTTAATTCTCATCCATGCTGTGGTTCACAGGCGAATTAAACAGCACTGGAAAGAAACGAGAGCACTTGCTGTGCACATTCGCAGGATGAGAGAGGATAGAGAAACGAGAGTTGAGGAGAGCGGCCTGTCTCTATCCATGCGTACACATTCGCGCCCTCACCTTCACGTACAAGAAGGAAACTTCTATAGGGTCATACGTAAGCACACGTCCCCATCTCACCTTGTTAGTGAGCACCATGCTAAAGAACATGCTATACCATCTGGTGACTCTCAGTGAGCGACCAAATGGAGAAAAGAAAACTAGATGGTTTGGTTCATGTACACTATGTGGTGTGACCTTGATGATGCTACTACCCATACCCATCTCACACATGCCCTCGCATCGCACCTTGATGAGCCCCATGCTGACGAGCTTTTCAGTGAGCGAGCGGTCGGGGCGAAGCATGCCGGCATGGTGGATGCTCTTCGAACCTAGGCAGATGCGCATACCTGGGATGCTATTCCCACCTACGTACACACACACACCCTCCCTCCCATCATACCTTGATGAGCCCCATGCTGAAGAGCTTCTCTGTGAGCGAGCGGTCCGGGCGCAGCATGCCAGCGTGGTGGATGCCGAAACCAGCCTGAAAAAGCTCCCCCATCTCCCTGTTGCGCGACCTCATCACGTCCTTCTGCTCGGATGAAAGAGGGGAGGGGAGGGATGTGGGCCAGGAAACGGAGAGAGGAAGGGGAGATAGAGAAGGGCAAGAGGGAGAGGATACGCGGGAATAGAAAGAAATAACTCCGCATCCCCCTATTGTGCGACTGCATCACGTCCCCCTATTGTGCAAGCACTGCATCACGTCCCCCGATTGTGCAAGCACTGCATCACGTCCCCCTATTGTGCAAGCACTGCATCACGTCCCCCTATTGTGCAAGCACTGCATCACGTCCCCCTATTGTGCAAGCACTGCATCACGTCCCCCTGTTGTGCAAGCACTGCATCACGTCCCCCTATTGTGCAAGCACTGCATCACGTCCCCCTATTGTGCAAGCACTGCATCACGTCCCCCTATTGTGCAAGCACTGCATCACGTCCCCCTATTGTGCAAGCACTGCATCACGTCCCCCGATTGTGCAAGCACTGCATCACGTCCCCCGATTGTGCAAGCACTGCATCACGTCCCCCTATTGTGCAAGCACTGCATCACGTCCCCCTATTGTGCAAGCACTGCATCACGTCCCCCTATTGTGCAAGCACTGCATCACGTCCCCCTATTGTGCAAGCACTGCATCACGTCCCCCTATTGTGCAAGCACTGCATCACGTCCCCCTATTGTGCAAGCACTGCATCACGTCCCCCTATTGTGCAAGCACTGCATCACGTCCCCCTATTGTGCAAGCACTGCATCACGTCCCCCGATTGTGCAAGCACTGCATCACGTCCCCCTATTGTGCAAGCACTGCATCACGTCCCCCTATTGTGCAAGCACTGCATCACGTCCCCCTATTGTGCAAGCACTGCATCACGTCCCCCTATTGTGCAAGCACTGCATCACGTCCCCCTATTGTGCAAGCACTGCATCACGTCCCCCTATTGTGCAAGCACTGCATCACGTCCCCCTGTTGTGCAAGCACTGCATCACGTCCCCCTATTGTGCAAGCACTGCATCACGTCCCCCTATTGTGCAAGCACTGCATCACGTCCCCCTATTGTGCAAGCACTGCATCACGTCCCCCTATTGTGCAAGCACTGCATCACGTCCCCCTATTGTGCAAGCACTGCATCACGTCCCCCTATTGTGCAAGCACTGCATCACGTCCCCCTATTGTGCAAGCACTGCATCACGTCCCCCTGTTGTGCAAGCACTGCATCACGTCCCCCTATTGTGCAAGCACTGCATCACGTCCCCCTATTGTGCAAGCACTGCATCACGTCCCCCTATTGTGCAAGCACTGCATCACGTCCCCCTATTGTGCAAGCACTGCATCACGTTCCCCTATTGTGCAAGCACTGCATCACGTCCATGAGCTCGCACTGGTGCTTGCTTGCAATCCACCAAAGCGTACCTCCATGAGTTTGTACTGCGGCTGTTCTTGTGGATTGAACAGCTCTACCTCCCCGTTCCTCTGCGCCGTCTCCATCTGATGCCGCCAAGGGACGGATGGTGACGGGTAGTGACAGGTGTGGTGACAGATGTGGTGACAGATGTGATCACAGGTGGTGACCGGTAGTGCAATCAGGAACATGAAGCATGAGAAGCATGAGCATGGAATTTCACACATGCCAAACAGTGTTACAGTGATGCCGATGGCAGCATGACAGGTGGTTGCACCAGATTCAATCAATGCATGTGATGTGATGACACGTTATAGCACACGCACCAAATATCCTGCGGTCTTGACGGCGTCCTTCCGAGAGTGCACAAACACCATTGCCAGCTTGCTGGGTCGACTCAGTGGTGTTACCCATGGGATTATGATTCACAGCAACCAAGTATCATCACTACCAGTAGTAACACAGCACATACCAGTATTCTTGCGGTCTTAACGGTGTCCTTCCGAGAGTGCACAAACACCATTGCCTGCTTCCCATTCTTCACCGCATTCATTGCCTGAGAAGGAAATGGGACAAGACGGCATGGCAGTAGTAAATACCTTTGCACATTCATTTCTCAAACGTTCCTCACAGCACTCACTGCCTGGTGAAAGAAACATGGATCAGCAAGGCAGTCACCACCATCACCACAGACGCGCAATCAAGCAGCAGAGTGAAGCAAACAAGCAGTCGAGCTGGTGAGCAATCAAGACTGCGAGTACGATTATTTCTCTGACGATTATGAGTGAACGGACCAGAACCACCCATACCTGCTTACCTCCTCATATGTAATCTCGTGCAGAAGAGTGTTGCGGCGGGCGAAGTTGGGTTCCGAGACGCCGATGTACTGCTGGGAGAGCTTTGAGCTGGGAGACACTGTACTCTTAACACACCTTGTCGTACACAATCTCGTTCTCGTACACCTTCTCACACCTTCTCAAAACCCTAACTCCAAACACACCTTGTCGTACACAATCTCGTTCTCGTACAACTTCTCACACCTTCTCAAAACCCTAACTCCAAACACACCTTCTCAAAACCCTAACTCCAAACACACCTTCTCGTACGTACAAATCTCGTGCAGAGTATTTCTCTGAAGAATCTCCAAAAGCAACAATGCTTCCTTACCTTCTCGTATGCAATCTCGTGCATAAGGGTGTTGCGCCGAGCAAAGTTGGGCTCAGAAACGCCAATGTACTGCTGAGAGAGCGGCACGGGGCGGTAGGAGGCGTTGAAATAGAAGAGCCCCGTGTCCAGGTTGACTCGCAGGAACTGAGCCACCTGTGGGTGTGCATGTAAAGTGGGGGTATGGGGAAACAGCACAGGAATGTCAGTGTGTTGCTGGGAGGGGTGTGTCGGGTGGTAGAAGGTTTTTGAGGTAGAAGAGACCTGTGCAGCAGAGGTTGACCCGCAGGAATTGAGCCACCTGTGCAGGTCAAGGGAGGGGGAGAGGGGTTGGACAAGAGGAGAACGCATGACGCGAGGAACTGAACCAATCTCGTTGATCTATAGTCGTCCAGTCAAACACTATGCCGATCAACCCCATCACCCCAGCAGCCCATCAACCGATTAGCCCATCAACCCATCATCCCATCCATCACCCATCACCCCATCACCCATCACCCCATCAGCCAATCACCCCATCACCCATCAGCCCATCAGCCAATCAGCCCATCACCCCATCAGCCCATCAGCCCAGAAGCCACTCTGCTCACCTCAGTGTAGTTGGGCAGTGTTGCCGAGAGGCCCACGATGCGAATCATGCTCTGCGAGCTCTCCACCTGGAACCAGTGCCGCACACAAGCACATGCGCGTACGCACACACACATGCACGCGCGTACGCAAAGCCGCATGCACACGCGCAGGCAAATGCACACCAACACGCACATGCACGCACGCACTTATGCACGCGCGCGCGCACACACACACACGGCACGCACGTACGCACGCACGCACGCACGCACACGCACGCACGCACGCAAACACACACTAAAAAAACACACAGAAACCATGATGGTACATTCCATGCATACCAGTCAGTAATGCGTCATCACCATGCCAGATCGACCATGCAACATAGTCCATGTCATACACACGGTCGGGGAGATGGGAGATGAGATGACATAGAGCGAGCAGCATGAGCTCCCAGTCTGCTTACACCAACCTGAGCAGCCACTTGCCCAACAAGGATTTCAACACCCACCCCTCTGCCGCCCACCCATCTGCCGTCCACCCCTCTGCCGCCCACCCCTCTGCCGCCCACCCCTCTGCCGCCCACCTCTATACCACCCACCTGTCTCAAGGTGCGCGCCACGAGCGTCTCGATCACAGGCCCACGGTCGTCATTCAGCAGATGCACCTCGTCGATCACGAGCAGGCGCACCAGCGACGCCATGGATACATCAGAGCTCTTTCTCGTGATTACATCCCACTTCTCAGGGGTTGTCACGATCATCTGAGGGAGGAGGGGCGCAGGAGGGGGGAAACGGGGAGAGCATCTCAGCAGGTGAACCTCATCGATCACCAGCAGGCGAACCAGCGACGCCATGGATACATCTGAGCTTGTTATCACGCCCCACTTCTCAAGGGTTGTCACGATCATCTGAGGGAGGAGGGGCGCAGGAGGGGAGGGATGAAAGATGTAGAGGGTAAGTAAAGAGGTGTTCTGTTTGTCTACCACCTTGTGCAACGAGAGGAAAGAGAGAAGAATTTCATACATGTGTCTCTTCCATCTCCCTCTTTCTCAGCTGCATTTCCACAGTCAGCTACACACCATTTCCATAGTCACCAGCTTCAAGGGAAACCATTGGTCCGCCTCGCCACCTAAGGTTAGGCTGCAAAAACCACCCTTTGGTTTGCAGCCTAAGGTGTCACCTAAGGTTAGGCTAGCGTCTCATCCACCTCCCTTTGGCCAGCTGCATGTCGCCAGTCAGCTCTCGCACTGCCAGCTGTGCCAGTGGTGCATGTCCAAAAATACACCTCAAATCAATTATCAAACCACCATCACACCCGCCCTCTCTCCCTCACCTGCGTCTCTTCCATCTCCCTCTTGGTCAGCTGCATGTCGCCAGTCAGCTCTCTCACTGCCAGGCCCAAAGGAGCCAGCCGCCGCCCAAAAGCTGCTGCCATCTCTGCTGCTAGCGCCTGATGGGAGGGATGGGGATCACACACACAAGCACAAACACACGTGCAAGGTCAAGAATGAAAGGAAACAGTGGGCAGGCAGCTCAAGTCGAAGTTTAAGCATTCAACTAGGAAATCACTTTTGAGAATTCTCGAACGTGCATGATCAAGAATGAGAGGAAACAGTGGGCAGGCAGCTCAAGTCGAAGTTTGCCTATCATGGGCACTCAGCTTGCCAATGCAAATAATACCAAAGAAAATACCGAAGCCCCACAAGACACCCCACCTCTTTCTTCTTTCTTCTTGCGACATGTATGAACCCTTTTGTGTTGTGTCCTTTATTGCCGCACCAACACCACCACCCACCTTCATGGGAGCAACGTAGACGATCTTGAAGTCGTTCTTCTGCAGCACCCCGTTCTTGAAGTTGGCTCCCACCTGCCGAGGATGAATATGGAGGATGGATGGGCGTATGCGCGGTGTGAAGTGAAGTGAAGCAGAGAACCGCATTTGCATTGTTGACAAAAAGCTGACTGTTTTTATAAATTTGGGATCAGGCCATTGCCACCACAACCGAACCTTCTACCACTCTAAAACTACTCATTCTGGTCAAATTTCCCTCACTTCACCCATCTGAAGTTCCTAATCCTCCATCTGAAACCTTACCTCACCATACATTCTCAAATCCAAATCCCATGCTACTATCACCACACTCCCTCGTGCACCACCAGTTCAACTCTGTCCCTCGCCATCCACACAACTTTATCGCCTCCCCTCACCTCATGCAGAATTGTGATCATCGCAATGTTGGTCTTGCCAGCTCCAGTGGGCGCACACACCTGTCAAGAGCGGTTGGGGGTGGTGGAAAGGGTTTCCTACTGGGTTGAGAAGAGGCGACCAGAAGGAGCGACCAGTTTCTTTGAACAATTCTCCAGACTAGAACTAAAGCAAAGTCATAAATGGGCAAAGATGTACCCATGCACTAAAATAAGTCTCGCACAAAAAAACATTCGTTGCAAAACAAAACAAAAAACTAACAGGCAAACATTGATGCACGCAAAGGAGATTCTCATTGAAGTACCGTAATCACCCGGACATACCACCCGCCGAAATTGAACACCCCCCGGGTGGCTTGTGCGGGGTGGGTGCTATAGCGGACCTCGTTTCTACTATACCCCCCTTTTGGGCCGATCCGGTATAAGACCCGGGGGGGGGGGGGGGGGGGGGGGGTGTTATGTACGGAAAAATTTGCTGTTTTCGCCTAAATTTTGCGCAGGGACGTGACCGCACCAGCGAGGCTGCTAAGCCTGTTGCGGGACTCCCGCCTCTGTGACTGCATGAATCCTCGTCGAGCGACGGGGGGTGTGTTTTCGACCAATCAGGGCATGACAGAGGGCCTGTTGGAGCTTGCAATGTGGCAGTTTGCACTCGAGGCTAAGGGCGTGTGCACTAGGGGTTCAAACTTCTGACTAAGTTCGAACTTTTAGCGAGGTTCTACTCGGTGCAAAGCGGTGAATGTTCGAACTTTGACAAATTTCGCCCAAAGTGCACACGCCCTAACGTTATCGCCTCATCCTCGGTTTTGCGCACCCAACCAACAATCTACCACCGCAGCAAGCATGTAGCAAAAAGACCCGGGTGTTATGTAGCTTTTTCCCATGACAAGACCCCCCCCTTTTTTTGATGTAGTTATCATAGCACCCTAGGGTGGTATGTCCGGGTGATTACGGTATAAGGCACGCTGGTTGGTAGATGCGGCTCTGGATGAGGCTCAGAGTCTGAAATCCCACTCACCTCCTCGTACCCCTTATAAACCTTTCCCTTACCAGAAGTTTCTCGTTGGAGTAGAAAGCACGTTGGTAGATGCGGCTCTGAATGCGGTTGAGCGTCTGAAATCCCTCAAACGCCTTCTGAGCAAACGGCTCCATCTCACCCACTCTCACCAGCCTCTCCTGTGCTCTCTTCCGCCAGACCCCCAGCACCTCCTCTCCTCATACCCCTTAGAAGCCTTTCTCTTGAAATACATACCAGGAGATTCTCATTAGAGAAGAAGGCTCGTTGGTAGATGCGGCTCTGAATGCGGTTGAGCGTCTGAAATCCCTCAAACGCCTTCTGAGCAAACGGTTCCA